GCTTGTCGTCGCTCGTTCCAAACCCCTCAAGATGCCGCACAATTCCCTCCACATGCTGCTGCTCAAATTTGCTCTCGACTCCTTCGCTTGATCCTGCCTACATTCTACCAGTCCAGTGGCCCGGATGTCGCATTATTCCTTTAAAGTGCTGCCGCTTGAGTCTTCTCCCCGTTTCTCTGCTTGATCCCACAGTTCTCGATCCTCTTAAGGTAGAGGCACTGTCCTAGTGCATCATGAATTCTTCTGATTGTTGATGCTCTTATCCACTCAAGCCACTATCACTTGATTGCGGCTGACGAGTGCAGCTGGTTTGCATGAAACTTCATAATCTTTTTTATCATTTCTTTCAAGGCCATGAATCTCACTTCCATGGATAAGAACCGTCCCTTCATGGATGAGAACCATCTCTCCATGTCCAAGAAACGCTCTTCTATTCCTTATCGAGTTTGGCTCAACTCTCCCTCTGATTTCCTTACAAGGCATCTGCTTTCTTGGTTGTCGTTACTCTCAAGAAGTTTTTCGACCACAAAGGTGGAACTCTTGTACGTCGCTATCTCATCATTGGTTTCCCAACTAACTCGAGTTGCGATTGTATCGTTAAACTTCGGTCACGAAGGTGATTGTATCGCGAGGCTTGACCACGAAGGCAACCTCGTCGATTTGGAATGTATCGCGATTTCGTCGTTAGCTTCCCAACTAGCTCGAATCACATGATTTGATTACAACGACAAATCTTGCTCACAGTGATCCTGCCATAGGCTTCCTAGCTTGCTTAAATCGCGATTGCATCTCGAGGTTTGGTCACAACGATAGATCTTGTAAGCCGCGATCTCGTTGGAGGCTTCCTAGCTCGCTCTAATCGCGACGGTATCACAAGGTTCGGTCTATGCTCTGATACCTTCATTGGCTTTCCAGTTCTCGAATCACCACTATATCGTGACATTTGGCAAGGAAGGCGCGTCACGATCTCATTATTGGCTTCCCAAATATCAACTGTTTTGATATCAATTTCACAGGAACTTTTGCAGAAATTAAGGCAAAATATTTTTTTTTCACCAACTTAAAACAACACAACCCAAATACGAAAAAAGATAAACTCCTACAATTTAGAGGTAAACAATTTCTCCTAGACATTAATCCTAAGATTTGAGACAACGATCTCATATATCTCATAACCTAACCCTAAACATATTAAGCCTTATTTATATCCCACAATAATAATTAACAAAAGGCTAAATTTTCCTTTTAGTCTTGCGCCTAACATAAGCTTTAAAACTTTTTTGACGGGCTTAGATTCGATTTAGTGGAGCATGAGGCGGACAATACTGTAGGCGCCGTATGTACACATACTTGACCTTTTGGCCATTTAAATTATTTAAAAAATTATCACCCAATACTTCATATTATTCATTTTCTCAATATCGTATGTCTAATAGCCTTTAGATGCAATTTTGAGCTCATTTTGGCTACCAATATTTTTTTGCAAGTGTTCTCTCCAATGTCGGCTGATATAATGCTAATTTTTCTGTTTCATTCATTCTCCCCCTTTTACGCGTGCTTTGGAGCAAATTATGAATGAGTTAAATATCAACGTTGTAGGAAAACTCTTTTTTTTATGTTGCCATGGTCTACCACTTATCATATGACGCCAAATTTTAAGATATCAGATAAAAATTTTAACACTTGGAAAGTATAACCAAAATTTGCATCTCTCAGAATTTAGACGAGTCAATTTTATAAAATTCTATACGTTGAATCGATCAAATTGATATGTAACACCATGCATGAATTTTAAACGAATGAGAAGATATAAAATTATGATGTCATAAATTTGATCACTCTTAATTAATCTTAATTATCCTCCGTAATTCTGCATCATCACTATAGCCGCCAACTCATTTGCACAAGCACAGTTGTGGAATGAAGACGGAATGAAGACAAAGGACTGGAATTCATTGTAAGATAGATACATTCCTCCATAGCCTTCGTATTTCTCTAGTACTCTTTTGATTCTTTGTCCTGTACGCTTCAGCGATCGGGGCATTCTATCAAGCATGAACGACAACAACCACACGATCCCCCAGGGAGCCGCAGACATCAATTCAAGGTTTCGAGGATAAGTCAAAAGGACGGAAACCTTCTTTCGAACTAATTAGAACCTTCCTTCCCTTCCCTACATTTTCCTTTTGACGTCTGCCACAAATTGGTACACTTAGTCATTTTCGGTTACTGTAGCGAGAGATGAATTTGTGTCATAGACAACAAATTTGGTTTGTAGGATTCCGTATGTGCTATCTGCAGGAAATCAATGAAGTAATGGGACGTAAGGAAGGTTGTGGGGGAGGAAGAGAGGATTGAAGTAATTTGTAGAGGGAATTCATGTAGAGCAACCCATTCGAGGTAAATATTGACGTGTATCTTTATGTGTGATTAAATTAAACCTGGTATAAAAATTTGTGAATATTGTAAGAGGTTTATGAATTTCAGATTGTTTAAACTAGGCGGCAAACTTCAAGCGAGTTTCAGGAAATTTGTCGTGGGGATGCTCCATCAATTTAAGTGAAATAATCGTGTGCTAACTTAAGAAAAATAACTCTGCAGGTTCTATGTGATTATGTTTGATATTATTGCATTTAGAATTTTCTGCATATTGTGGATGAATACCTGTATAAATTGTATGAATGTAAACTTGGTTTGTCCTTTACAATACCTATGATTTTATCATACTGTGAATCTTATGAATATGCTCATGAAATCATTGCTTGTAGATATTCGTTTGCTATGATTCATGCATATGACATGAAATTTCTATAATGAATGTTTGTTACCAAAATTATGAGTTAAGAAATGCACAAGTGATGCTATAGATAATCTATTACATGAATATTTACAAGTACGGATGATAGAGAATGATAAGATTCCCAAATTCTAGTATTTTGACAAAAACAAAACTTCGGGGATGTTGGGATCATATAGGGATGAAATGTATTGATAATAGAGGACTATTGATAACTGTTATTTTGGGTGATAATCTTTATCAATAGTTAATGTAATTTTCTGGCTGGGTGTTAACCCTTGACATTGAAAATATTTTAAACTTATACAATTACAAGTGACATTCTTATGATTAAATTGATGTTTTTTATGAATATGCTTAGGATTATACATGAATGGATGAAATACATGTTTTATACAACAGTCATAATTTCATACATTACATGCCTTTTATTTTTACATGTTTTTTGTGATTATAGCATAATGTGATATGTGTTCTGGAGATGTACACGAGTTACATATGAGCATCACTTCATTTTTTTGTTTATAAAATTTTATTTTAGCTTTAATTATTTCGCTGAGTTTGTTGTAGCTGTCTCTACGTTGTTGACTTTAGGAAGGGATAAGAAACACCGGAGTGAGTAGCATTATGTGACATTTACAGTTTTTGCATTTCATAGTTTGGGAGCTTGTATAGATTTTTGAGTACGTACTTTTATTATGTTTGATTTAATAGAATTGTTGACTGTAGGAAGGGGAGCACCCGGGCGAGCAGCCTTATTTGACATTTTCAACTTTTGTAATTCATTAGTTTGTGAGCTAGTACAAACTTTTGAATACGTACTTTTATTATGTTGGATTTAGTAGCTATGTGTGTATTTTGGTGATATGATTTTTCATGCTTTAGAATATATGTGAATGATGAACTGAAATGTATCATATACGTTTGCGGAGATTTAGTTAGGCTAGTTCATCATTCATTGGATTCTGATTTTGCAAGTCAGGAAGAGTATTTGTGATAGTTTAGTCTGACCAAATCATCCGTCTTTGTCGTACTGCAGTTGACTCTTAAAGAGGGGCTAGGTGGAGTGTGATATATTGACGATTTCTTAAAACTGAATAGAGACCTACGATCTATTGTACCTACTCTATTTTAATACTTCCTTGCCAAGCACTGTCCTAAAGAGTTTTTTTTTTTTTTTTTTTTTTTTTGTACCTATAAGAGATGATGTAGTGCACCATCATCCCAAGGAACTACATCTATGGATACCATCTGGTTTTTGCTTAATTTTCTAAAAAAGAGGTATCATTGTTGGCACGGGAGTGTCCCCGCTCATGGGAAAGCACCAACGGGACGGAGCTTTCCTTCCTGAGAGTTTCGCAGAGGCAAAATTCCTGTTCTTTTACTGTTACAGGTATTGTGGGGCATTATTTTTTTTTATTCTGAAATATATATATTCACGCTATGACATGAAAAAAACCTACGAGTCTCAAGGTTATTGCAATTTTGTTGAGGAAATGGAAGCCTCAGTATAAAGCTCGGGATTTGGCTATGAGGCTGTGGGGTGGAGCATCGGTCAGGTTGGCTCGGTTCTTGTCCAAATCATTAAAGTGAACCAACCCCCCCTTCTGTAATTTACTATCAGTAATTTAAATATATATTTGCGTCTAGAATTATGTATCTGCATTCTATCTAAAAACAAAATTTTTTGCTCTATAACCACAAGTCGACAATTTTTTTTAAGGCTGCGAGCTTTTATAAAGTAATACATCTGTAGTTGCCAAAAGTGAGAATATCACGGGGCTTTATTTTTGGCAAATAGCTATTGCTGGATTGGCGGTAATGATGCACTAGGATTTATCTGAAGGAAAAATTACCCTGGGGAATTTAGAAGCTAGGCTAAGGAAAATACACAGGTGATGCTTCTGCCACAGCATGAAGTGTTGGCTGGCATTAAAACTGAAACTCCGCAAGCGCAGTGATTTTTATGGTTCAAAATGTTAGAGAATGAGAAAAGGAAAGGGCTATCTTGGTGGTGGTATAGTGGTTGGATTTCTCCTGGGAGAATATAATGGCAGCGGCAAATCTTATGTTGTGCATGTTTGGCATATCATGCAGTTGAGCTGATTTTTCAGTGCTTGATTCTGTATGAGTTCCTTCTTTTGGAAATCTCATTAATTGTACTGTACTCATTTTTTTACATGATTTTCTCTCATTGAAACAGCAAATTGTGCAACTTGATCTCTCATCTAGTTGGTCATTTGGTGTGAAGTGGTCTCCAAGTGGCAACACCTTGGCTTATGCAGGTTAGCTTTGGTTCTGTTTTGCTCTTTTTTTCTTGAAACATAATTTACATAATAAATTGTTTTGATGTAGATTTTGTTCTACGCATAAGTACTGCTACTCTAAAGGGGGGAATCACGCTTCTTGTATCCATTATAGGGAAAGGGTGCAAGGATTTAGTATAAGTAGTGCTTACATATGCATTTATTAAATCATAAACATTTTTGATATATATTGATATAATGATGGACCAAAATACCGTGCCAATGTTATATTTCCAAAACATGGAAGATCAAGTCAGATTTATGATAGGAATACCAAGAACAATTCTCAATTTTACTGGGGCTTAGAATCAATTTGAAATTAAATCACATCACGGAATAACAGGATCACACAAAATTCGAGAAAACCAAAATAAAATCTAAATGGAAGTACGATCAAAGCAACCAGAAATGCACACGAGATTTAATATGGAAAAATCCGAGAACGGGAAAAAAATCACGGAGCCACACCACTAAGAAATTCCACTATGAAATTCAGAAAGTTTTTACAGAGAGCTCACATCAGTTTCCTCTCTATACACATGGAAACTTGTAGGACTCGCTCCACACTCTTCCTTCCGATCCGACGTGAGAAACGCCCGTCGAAATAGTAGAAGTCATCCTCTCCGACACTTCTCACACTGACCAGGATTTTTGTCTAAGAACACTTACTGAAATTTCAGGCACTGAAGAAATTCAATTCGCCGCTTCAATTTAGGACTTAAAACCCAAATAATCGTAATAACTGCACCGGGCACAAAAGCCCTCAGACTTGGGCACAAAAGCACCTGTCTCTCGGGAAAGAAGGAAGTCCCGCCCAACACCTTCGACACTTGAGCAACCATGCTGTCGTTCGAGCGTCGGTTTCACAACCAGCACCCCAAAGTTGGGCGCTTGGGCGCCCAAAGGTGGCTCAAAAGCGCTCCCCTCTCTATTGAGCGCCCAAAAAATGAGCTATTAGGTGCCCAAAGGGGGCGCAAAGACACCCCTTTCTCTGAGCGTGCGTTGATGCTTCAAATTTGGTTCCACACTTAACAATCTCTCACTTGGAGACTGATTGCACCTTCACCTCCATATGAATCACCTTCATAGTCACGTACTATCGCACATACTGGGGTGTGGCTCAGCCTCGAACTCAACCTTTAAGCAATTCAACTGAAGTCAAGTATAGCTTCAATTTCTTGATAGTCATCATCTTCGTCAACATATCCACAAGATTCTGAGCTGTGTATCTTCTCCAGAAATAACTGCCCATTTTCTAGAAGAGATCAAATGAAATGATACATCAATTGAATGTGTTTTATCCTGACATGAAAAACAACGTTCTTAGCAAGTTGAATCGCACTCATACTGTTAGTGTAGAGTTTTCTAATCCCCTGCTCCTTGCCCAATTCTGCCAAAAAACTCTGCAACCAAATCATCTTCTTGCTAGCCACAATGATAACAATATATTCGGCTTCTGTAGTTGAAAGTGCAACTATCTTCTGCAAGTTGGAAACCCAACTAACCGCTGCATTCACCAATGTAACTACATACCCCATTGTACCTCTCTTACTGTCCACATCTTCTGCCAGATTTGAATCTATAAATCTCTGTAGATTGATCCTGTTGTACTTCCATAACAAAGTGTCTCGTTAACTATTTTCCTCATGTACATGAGAGTCAATTTTACTGAATTCTAATGATGTCTGCTTAGATTGTCCATATACCTGCTGACTACTCCCTCTGCATATGTAATATCTGGTATGGTATAAATCATCGCATACATCAAACTTCCAACTGTTAAGGCATACAAAGTTCTTTGCATCTGTGCTTGCTCTGTTTCAGAGTTTGGCGATATCTCCTTAGATAGTTTGAAGTGACTACCTAAGAGAGTGCTAATTGATTTCGCCTCACTCATGTTGAACTTCTGTAAGATCTTCTCAATATACCCTGCCTGAGACAGTTTCAGTGTTTTTGCACTCCTGTCCATGTTGATTCTCATCCCGAAGGTCTTCATGGTTTGACCTAAATCCTTCATCTCAAACTCTCTTGATAACTATTTCTTTAAGTCCCCGATTTTCTCTATATCTTCCTTTGCAATCAACATGTCATTCACATATAAGAGAAGCAATATATAACAATTACCGAAGTGTTTGATGATGCAACAATGGTCTGTCCGGCACTTCCAGCACGCATTGTCTAACATGTACCTGCCAAATCTTTTGTACCACTGTCTCAGGTCTGCTTCAAGCCATAATTGCTTTTCTTCAATCTGTGGACCAAACATTCTTTGCCTGGAACCTTGTAACCTTGTGGTTGCACCATTTATAGCTCCTTCAGATCCCCATGTAAGAAATTCATTTTGACATTCATTTGCTACCAAACTCAGTACAATCCTGATAGTTGTTATCTTCACCATTGAGGAGAAGATATCTGTATAATCCACTCATTTCTTCTGCTGGAAACCCTTGACAATAAGCCTTTCCTTGTAGCGCTTGCTATCATCTAATTCCTCCTTCAACCTGTAGACCCACTTGCTGTCTAGTGCTCTTTTGCCATCGGGTAGAACCGTCACATTCCAAGTCTGAATTGACTCCAAATATTGCATTTCTTCATCCAATTCAAACTCCCACTCCCTTGAATCTTCAACTTGCGTGACATTCTCAAAGCACTCTGATTCACCGCTATCAGTTAGTAACAAATAGTGTAAATAAGCAAAATACCCATGTACGAGTTGTATCAATTTGGTGAATCTTCTGACTTCAATAACAGGTGACTAAGGAACTTCCAGTGCTCCTTCTAGTCGTGCACTACTTTTTTCTCCACCTTCCTGATCACTAGTGTCATCTATCTCAACATATCTGAATTCTTTAGAAGTAGCTGATGGGTTGTCCTTAGTTCTGACCGTGTATATCATTTTATTGAAAGTGACATCGATGCTTCTGATGAATTTCTTATTCTAGTAATCCTATAATTTGTACCCAAATTTATCTGAGTCATATCCAATGAATATGCATTTAACGGATTTTGAGTTAAGCTTGCTCTTGGAACCTGCATCAACATGCACATATGCAGAACACCCCAATCCTTTTAAATGAGATATATTTTCCTTTTTGTCACTTTAGACTTCTTCAGGTAAGTCTTCCTCCAAATGTACTGATGGACTACGGTTAATCAAATAAATTATAGTGTTTATTACTTCAGCTCAAAACTGTTTCGACAAGTCTGCATGCAGTCTCATGCTTCTAGCACACTCCGTGATTGTTTTGTTCATGCGCCCAACCACAATATTCTGTTGCAGTGTTCTTAGGATAGTGAACTCATGCTTGACCCTCTCTGTAGCACAGAAATTCCCGAATTTCTGATCATGGTACTCGCCCCATTATCGATTTGAGACACTTTAGCTTTAAACCCGTCTCATTTTTTACCATAAGTTTTCACATCTTAAAGGCTTCAAATACATCAGTTTTTTTGCCTTATGAAATAAACTCATACATTTCTTCTGTGATCATCAATGAACGTGACAAAATAACAAGAACCTCTAATGGACTGAATTGGAGCAGGACTCCATACATAAGTATGCTTTAACTTCAGTTTCTTTGATTTCACCACTGACCCGCTCTTAGGATAAAAAAAACTTTATTATGCTTACCATAAATACAATCTTGACAAAAATCCAACTCAACTGATTTCAAAACATGCAACTTGTTTTTAGAAAGTAGAGACTTTATATCTTTCTCGCTCATATGACTAAGCCTACGGTGTCACATACCCACGTTCACTCTGTTTCTAGCCACATCAATGAAATCAACTATTTCATTGATCTAATAAAGAATGTCTTCAATGTTAACTCGAGCCATCACTAATTCTCTCTGGTCACATTCCACAAATTACCTATGAAAGTTGTCACGACTCATTACTTCAATAAGCTTTCAGACTGTTACATTCGACAACCTGATATCAACATCATTCTTTCCTATAACGTTGTAGGTCTTGTTGTCTCCCAAATAAACCTTTTTTAGATTACTCTGAGCATAATTTTTAAATATCTCTTTATTAGGCAAAACATGAAAAAAGACATCCGACTCTACTATCCAAGATTAAGTGTTGAGTACGAATAACACTAGAGAGTCATTTTGGATTCACCTGTGGAGTCATTTGTAGAAAAACTTTTCCTGTCCTCCACGACCAACCTTCCTTGGAGCTTTGCAGTCTTCCTTAAAACGACTTTTCTTACCGCAGTTCAAGCATTCTCCTCTGTCATTTTCTTTGTTTGACCTGTACTTTCTTTTCATAGAATTGGATCTGTCTCTGCCTGTATTCCTGTCCAAATTCATTCTCTTGTTATCAGCATTCAACGCAGAACCTGAAGATTCACCATTCCCCGCTTTTCCACGAATTTCTTCATTTAGCACAGACCCATGATGGCATCGAAATTTAAATTCGAAGTCCCTCAAGAATTATTCACCGTTGTTACCAAATAATCCCAACTGTAGGACAAGAAAGATAATATCACCAATGTTCTGATCTCTTTACCAAACTTGATCCCCACAGAACTCAACCGACTCGTCATAGTGTTAAAAGTATTGAGATGCTCTGCCACTGAATTATTTTTCACCATCTTCATGTTAAATAACTTTTTCTTCAGAAGAATCTTATTGGAAGTAGATTTTTCGTACATCTTTGTTAGCCCACCATGAGATCTATTGTAGTTTTCTCTTTTACAATGTTGAATGCAACATGCAAGGAAAGTGACAACCTGATCAAACATAGTGTCATTCAATCTATCACTTCCATTTCCTCCATAGGCATAGACTCAAACTTCCTTGTAAGTCCATGTAGTGGCTAATATAACATTTTTTGATACAGTGAATCCTCCACCTGCATCTTCTAGAAAGCAAAGTTCGTCCCATAGAACTTCTTCATTTCGAGCCTAGCTTCTTCGGCCATTGCTCCCACTCGAATCGAATCTTTCTCTGATACCAGTTTGATAGGAATAACGAGAACAATTTCAACTTTACTAGGGCTTAAAATTAATTAGAAATTAAACCACACTACTGAATGATATAATCACACTAGATTTGAAAATACCAGAACAAAATCTAAATGGAAACACAATCCAAGCAACCAAAAATACAAACGAGAATTTATCGTGAAAAAATTCGAGAACGGAAAAAATCACAGAGCCACACTACCAAAAAATTTCATTATGAAATTCAGAATGTTTTTACAGAAATCTCTTCTCTACACACAAGGAAACTTACAGGACTCCCTATACTCTTCCGATTCGACGCCAAAAAAGCCCTTTGAAGTCGCAGAAGTCCTCTCGACACTTCTCACATTCACTGGGATTTCTCTCGAAGAACACTTAACTTGCAGGAACTTCATGCACTGAAAAGATTCAATTCGCTGCCTCAATTTGGGACTTAAACCCAAATAATTGTAATAACTGCACCGGGCGCACAAGTGCCCGGACACCTTGGGCGCTTGAACGCCCATGCTGGTGCTCGGGCGCCGACTTCACAACCAGTGCCCCAAAGTTGGGCACTTGGGCACCCAAAGGTGGCACAAAAGTGCTCCCCTCTCTATTAGGCTCCCAATGGGGGCGCAAAGGCACTCCCTTCTGTGTATTCGCCCATATGTGGGCTAATAAGCGTTGGTTGTTTGGTCTTCTTGAGTGTGTGTTGGTGCTTCAAATCAGGCTCCATACCTAATAATTTACTTATTTATGTTAACATTCTTGTTAAAAATCACGAACCTTTAGATTATCTATTTTAGCTAGAAAAAATCGGGTATTCTGAGCATGTCGCATTACATAACTGGAAAAAAGATCCATTGATTCAGATTTTATGCTTATGCTTTGTTGGGGGTATTCAAATATGATACTACTTCATTGTTCTAGATTCGGTTTCCTTCCTATTTCAGAAGAATAACTTGGTGGTCGCTCCTTGAATAAACGAAGTTATAAGTCTAGTAAAGTAAATTTCCAGTCTTGTGAAATCTCTCAAGCTTTTCTTGAATATTTCTTGGCTTTGCCTGCATTTTCTCCTACAAATTAGATGAGTGTAGGCCAATAATAGTTTATACTTCAATGAAGCTTGCTATGGAATATAGAAATATGCTAAAGCTATTTGATGTTCACGGATAGATATAATCCAAATGAACCTCAAAACAAACTGGGGATCGAAGAGAATTCATTTTTGTCCAAGCGGGACCCTTGGTCTTCCCTTGTATCTCTCAGTTTTCTTTTGTTCAACTTCGTAAACCTCTTGGTTGTGATAGGATTCCACATTGATCTTTAAACAAATACATCCATCACAAGCTTTTTTTGCTTGCATGCTTATCTTATCCTTATCTTCTTCTTTTGCAATTTTTATGTGGGATGAGAGAATGCAAGAGGAGAATTGGCAAAGGAGTCGGAGAACTCTTCCAAGGATGCTAGCATGTAACAAAGAAAGAGGGCTTAATGTTTTCAGTCAAAGAGGAGGAACAACATTTGACAGATCAGTTAGAAAAAAAATCATTGTAATCTCGCTTATTACAAGAGAAATAAAATGTTTGGGAAATTTACATGTGTAGCACACAATTCTTATATAGTTACATATCCCAAACCTAAACTTTCATATTTGCGTACATAGCACTTTGGTGCTTGGATTTCACTTTTTAAAAAGTGGTTATAGTGCTGTTTTTGATGTTATATTAAAGATTTGAGTGCTACTGTGTACATATGAAGCTTAGATATGGGATATGTAAATACATAAGAATTGTGCTCTATGTATGTAAATGCCCCTAAAAGTCTTACTTCATTAGATAGGGGATTACTAGTTCTATTTGCTTTAGAGCAGTGGCTTGCTCCTTCTAGAGGAGTTTAGGGAGAGTGATTTCAATTAGATGAAGTGACTCCCTCATTAAAGATGCATAAATATACATCAATTAGAAGTGAACGTGTTTCTCCTCACATTAAAGCATGCTTGGATTTAACTCATGAAGGAGTGGGAATATTAAATGTCGAAGCTTGCATATATATGATGACACCTAATTCATACGCAGCTACTTGTAATTCTCCGTGTCATAATATTCAATATGACCTTAACTAGTGCTGATTCTTTTGTTGCAAAAAAAAAAGGAAGGGATAGTATGCATTATCGATATTATATAGTTATTTAATCTATATTAGTATTTTAAATTATTTATTTTGCTGATTTAGTGATCCTATTTTGTAAAATGTAAAGGATACTCTAAAAACTAGCGTAAATCATTAATATGCCAAACATTGTCACTGATTTGATGCTTACTAGATTCTTTTTTCTTTGGATTATTTAGCTAGATGGTTCTATGCTAGTTTCTATCAAACCTTTTAGAGTCCTGGATGACTTTCATAGCTTTGACATTGTTTTAGTGTCTTCTAATTTCATATGGTAAAAGTCCTGGACGTTTTTTAATTTGGTCAAAAGCCTATGTATAGTTTCAAGTAACAAAATTGGGCTTGCACAAAACCAGACCAATCTGTTCTGTTTGACATCATAAGTACGATTAAATAGTTATATCTGTTGTTCAGATACTAGATACTACCATATTTTTTTATAGTGAATATATATATATATGCATATCAATTTTTATGTCTATTATTTTGACTATTTGGAACTAAATGACTTGCATGCAAATGTTTTTTAGGTCACAACTCAACGGTATATTTTGTAGAAGATATTCACAACTCACCTTTGGCACAGAATGTGGCATACCGTAACCTACCTCTGCGTGATGTGGGTCAACATTCCTTCTTTGCCTCCTCTAGATCCCAATGTTCTTTTATTTTTATGAGGCATTTACATGCATAGAATATAATTCTTGTGTATTTACATATCTAACACTTCAACTTTCATATTTATGCATATAGCACTCAAATCTTTAATATCACATTAAAAAAATAGCACCACTAGCACTATTTTAAAGTCAAATATACCTTTTCATGCATAGGTTTAAAACAAGAAGCATTATGTATGTAAGTGTGAAAGTTTAGGTGTGAGATATGTAAATACATACGTACTGTGTCTTATTTATGTAAATTTCCCTATTTTTATATAACAATGTTACTTTGAGTTCAATATCCATGTTTGCACTAACCTCATTTTACTGGCCCAGATTCTTTTTGTTTCGGAGAGAATGGTGGTCGGTGTAGGTTTTGACTGCAACCCGATGGTTTTTACCAAGGATGCTACAGGGCTCTGGTACAGAGTCTAATTTCAAGATGTTACTTTTTTAATTTTTCTCCATAGAGAATACTCTGTTTGATTTTATGATTAAAATTGAACAAGAGATCAATTACCTTGAATGTTTTAAACTTACTAAAATTTTTCTTATTCTAGATGAGATTGTCATTGTCTGAATTTTCTTTTCTCCACAAAAAGAAAAGATAAAACTTAAAAAATCCAAAGCCCTATTGACGCTAATCTGTATCATGTCTGTTTGTTTTGGGAGGTGGTTCATGGCTCTGAGTTAATACCTTCTATACACTTGTTGTTAGAGGGCGTTCTCTAATTTTGTGGTTTAGTTGGCATTATATGCTATTTTATAATTTAGAAATAATTTGAAGGTTATTTGGCTAAACCATTATTGTTAACTGACAGGAGCTTTGCTAAATTCTTGGAAGAGAGGAAGTCAGCACAATCAAATTCAAAATATGGCTCACAAGTATGTATAATTTGCGGTTTTCCTTAGTATGACTGTTCAAATGTGTGCAGATTTGGTAATCCGGTGCTGTAGATCGGTGCTTCTAGTTACCAGTGTTGAGTCCCATTGGTGTCATTATAATCATGTTTTGTTAGCCATTTTTTTGGTGTTTGCTCTTTTTTGGCGTTTTGCTAATTATTAAGGGCAAAACTGTTATATAGCATGTTCAACATATTTGTCATTATTTAAATTTTAGTATGGTTAGAATGTCCATAAATTTCTGACTACTGTAACAAATACTCAGCATTTGCCTTTTATTCAATCTAGATATGCTTGCTTTGTTTTCAGCAAGTTTCTGATGTATTTATCCAGAAAATTGTAGGTGGTAAAATTGAAAATATTTCATTCAAATATGGTATCACATATGTTGATGGTATTGCTAGTTTAGGTACCTGTTCAAAATTTTGTCATTTCCTTGAGTGATTTCTTTTCAAGTTGCTCTTTTCATGATTTTTTTTTTTGGTGGATGAATTTACATGCATACAACTCAATTCTTATGTATTTACATATCTAACTCTGAAATTTTAGTTCTTACATTTATATCACACAAATCTTTCATATCACATTAAAAATAACACTATTTTAACTTTTAAAAATTGAAATACATCTTTTCATACATAGGTAAGATGACATATGTAAAAATTGAAGTTTAGGTATTGGATATGTAAATACATAAGAATTGAGTGGTAACTTTTGTTTTTCTTGGCTCTGGCGTCTTCAGTTCTTGCATCAACATCCTGAATATCATCATTGTCTTTAAGTTGTCAGGCTTTTGATATCTCTGCAGAATTAATCATATTAAGATTCTCATCAGTTCTCTGAAGCATTTGGAAAGCTGTATGGGCAATCCAAACATGGAGTCAATGATGGCGTCGATTCTTTAAGGCCTCGTGGTATAGCTCATGAGAATACCATAACGTAGGTTCTTCGACTCAGCATTTATACACAAATATTGCTGCAAATTTATGATTTTGCTTCAAATTTATGCTTTGTCTCAGTTGCATCGTGCCTTTACGGAAAGAAGGGGAAAAAATTGTGAGGCGTTTCAGCAGCTCTGGTAAGTTGAACGTTGTTGATTCGACTTGTCTTTTGTTGGATTGTAACTTGCGTTATATCTTATTGGAAGATTTACATACATACCAGATAATTCCTGTGTATTTACATATCTAACACCTAAACTTTTATTTTTTTACATCAATACCGCAAAGGTGTATTTTCACTTCGTTAAAGTTGGTGGTATTTTTGATGTGATTAGAAATGTAAAAATCAAAGTTTTGCTGTTAGATGTGTAAATTCATAAGTTTTTTGTGGTATGTATGTAAAAGCCGCTATCTTATATGCCATGCTTCTTCAACAGGATTGGATGGTAAAATTGTGATCTGGGAGTTGGATGACAACGCAGAGATTCCAGAGTAATACAGAGTTTGTTCTCATTAGCAGTAGTCTATGTTTTAAATGCAGCCATGGAATGGCTTTCTGGTGATCAGAATAGCTCTTATTGTGATATGGATGAAACAATACCTCTATTTTTATACGCTTATACTTGTGAATTTTTCTATTATTTTGAGAATTGATTTTTTTTTTTTTTTTGAGAAGTATTTTGATAGCAAATTCTTTTTATCATCCATTTTGAATTTATTTTTTATTCTTATGGTCCTTGCTTCACATGATTTTGTTGAAACTTCAAGAAATGTAAATCTGCCGCAAATGAACTCCCAAGTGTAAACTCTCACTTGAGTGAAAGTATTAGTTCCGATAAATTGGACGTGCTCTTAAAAGTGTAGATCCCATGTCGACGAAGTCACTGTGTGATGCGATTGATGCCGTCGTCCGCACATCCAAGCGACGAATCTTCTCACTCTACGGGGGCCGTTTGGGTTCTTTTTTATTTTTCTTTCAATTTGTATTTATTCAAACATGTTTGGTAGAGTTATTTTAAAAACACTAAAAATATTGTTAGGTGTTAATATTAAGTTTATTTATTTTAAAAAATAAAGAAAAAAATAGAATAATTAAATCAACTAAACATATTTACAATACAAAAAAAAATTAAATAAATTAAACAAATGTGATGCTAAATAGGCCTTTCTTAGTTTGGCATTTGTCATTGTATTTTATTATGTTGTATTTGAAGGCTTTTGCCTTTCTAACTTGCAGAATTATTTTTGGCATTAGCATGAGTTCTTTTCTTTGTTACATGTTGCTTTGACTCACAAATTCGATCTGATTGTTTCTTTTTGTAAATCAAACTTTATATTTGATTATCTATATGATGCAACAACCCAAATTCAATTATTAGCAGTGTACCAAATGAGCAGAAACAATATCACTAGTATTCGGAAAAAAATTTGTGTGCAATAGTCGAACGCAGCGCTGCGTACGATATTGAGGTTATACCGAGGTACAAGGGGGTTATATTCGCGATATAATCTCTTGTAACTTTCTGTAACCTACCTGTAACTTATTAATAAATTTTTAATATATAATAACAAAAGCGTAAAACTTATTTTAGGTTACAGGTAGGTTACAGAAGGTTACAGGGAAGTTACGAGGGGTTATACCCTGGATATAATCACCTTGTACTCTCGATATAACCTCAATATCGTACGCAGCGCGTCTATCGCACGCAAAATTTTTCTCTAGTATTCCTTTCTAATATGAAAGGCATCTTTTCACATTAATTTTCTATTCTACTGTGACATTAAAATTTTATACAAGTAAATATTAAAATTTATGTACTATATATGATATTATGTAATAATTTATCATATTTTTAATTGTATAAAATCTCCATTTAAATTTGGACAGATAAACCAGAAAGTTGAGTAACATTCCAAGGACTTAATTCGTAATTAAGACCCTAAAAATTAATATATGCCAACCTCTAAATAAAATAACAATAATAATAAGTCAAAAGAGATTGTTATCATCTTAACTAATTAACTAATAACACATTATTATAATTACTCGTGTATTAATTAAAATTAGAATACTATAATTACGTGAAACTAATAATATCCTTCTTAATCATTCAATCAACTGAATAATACAATAACACCCACATGCTTTTATCAAACTGCCACATTCTGTTCAACACAGCACAAAAACCTTTAAGATTTAATTATCTGTCTATTGTTATTTAATGTAGTTGTAAAATAAAAGGGCTATGAATAAACAAATGAATACAAAAAACAAAAAAACTAACTCTAATTCCCAGCTGCTCTGGTTTCTGGAGGCATGCAAGCTTTGGAATCAATGAGGGCATTGGAAGGTGAAATGTTACCTGTAAGACTTATCCGAAGAACATGTTGGCTGTTCTCATTTTCTGAAGGCACATCAATGAGAGCTTCCATGGCAACCAAGTCCCAGTCATGGTGCTGAAGAAATGAGAACCACTTGTCTTCTGCAGCAAAAGAACAGAAATAAAAGAATCTGTATTTATTTGAAATGAAACCAAATTTAAAACTGCAAAAAATAAAATAAGGGGCAATAACATCATACCAGCCAAGTCCTATGTATTTACATATCTAAAACTTTACTTTTTTACATTTATACCATCCTAGATTTTCATATCACATAGAAAATGCCACTATTTTAACTTTTAAAAAGTGGAAATACACCATTTCATGCATAGGCAAGGTGGAATATGCATAAAAAATTAAAGCTTGGGAGTTATATGTATATACATGAGAATTAAGTGGTATCCATGTAAAACTCCCAAAAACATAATATCACCAGATTAAACAATACATGGACTATGATTCTCAGAGGAGCATCTAAAATTTATCCGTACACAAAATTAAGAAGACCAAAGAGCGTCTACAAAACAAGCATAAAGCAATGTACAATCAAACATTTTTTCTGGTCTTATCTCATCATATATAATGGCCTAAAACAGCTTAAAGCTTAAGCATATCATCTCCCCACTTTGCTTAAAGCCAATTTCCACTTATAGGGCAATAGGAAGATGTTAAGAGTAAGGAAGATTTACATAAATACCAGTCAATTCCCATGCATTTACATATCTAATGCCTAAACTTCAATTTCTACATGCATGCCACCTAACCTATCTATGAAAAGGTGTATTTCATTATTTAAAAGTTAATATGGTGGAAATTTTCATTTGATACGAAAGATTTGGGTGGGTCAAATGTAAAGGGTAAAACTTAGGTGTTAGATATGTACATACACAGGAATTGGGTGGGTATGGATGTAAATGAAAATTGAATTGTAAATAGTAGGTGCAAACCTCCACGGCGAAAAGCCTTCAACTGGAAAGTGCCAGATCCTTGGGGCCCAAAAACAGGAAATGTACATGATACCCAGTTTCTCCTATGGCCTACAGCAAGCGATGCATCATACCATGGCCCTCTTACAATTGGAGTTCCAAGAGCCTCTACAATTTTTTTATCCTCAGTTGCCTTTTCAATTGCCTTCCTAAAACGGAATCCAACAAAAATATGACAGTTAATGAGTCATTAATCACTTGAATGCACAAGGAATATGTGGAAACTTGAGAGGCCAGGAAAAATATATTAACTTCGGGGCAGTTTGGGATCTTTTTTTTTTTAATTCCTTAATTTTATTTTATTTATGTTTTGATTTGAAATAAACTATATTTGATGGAGAATTTATTTTTTAAAAGCACTCAAAACATTTAGATTATACTTTGAGTGCTTTTAAAGATAAAATGATTTATTTTTAAATAAAAAGTAAAAACATAAAAAAAGTACACTAAATACATATTTTTAGGTGTATTTACATATATAGCACATAGCTCTAATGTATTTACATCTCACACTTAAACTTCCATATTTTTCAAAATAGCACTTAAATCTTTAATATCACAAAAAGAAAAAAACATTATTATCACTTTTAAAAAGGGAAATACGCATTTTCATGTATAGAATAAAAGCACCAAAGTGTTTTGTATGTAAATATGAAAGTTTAGGAATGAGATATGTAAATATGTAAGAATTGTGTGTCAGGTATGTAAATTTCCCTATTTTGAAAATAAAAGCAAAAATAACAAACAAAATTTTAAAACAAATGTGATCCCAAACAAGGCTTTTGTAAAAAGAATTAACAATTATATAAATATTTGGCTAAATGCACAAGCACTAAAAGGAAAACCACTATCTAAGAAATATATAAGAGTACACTGTTATATGAATCAAAGATATAATTTTGCTATGGACTAATCAAGCATCTTATCAGCCATCACATAATTGTTGACGATTGTGTCAAAAGCATATATAATGAGTTTTCATGGGATACACTACATGATCAAAATATAAGATTGTTGGAAGAAATATATTTACGGAGAAAATACCATTAGAAAATTTTATTTAATATTGCATCGACAATTCTTAATGCAATAAAAAGGTTTTACTTCAAAGGCTATTACATAGAAGCATCAACTCTATCTAAAGTTAAATCACTTCAAGTTAAGCTGTGATGAAGTGTGCCACAAGCATGCACATAAATGCTATCTCGAAATTAATTTTATATTATCCTAAAATAGTATCTTTAAAATATTCATTACCATAGCAACTTACAAATACTCATTATCATAGCAATGAAATAATACAGGCAATACATCAATGACTTCCTTATTGCCCAACACTCAAAACACATATGACCTAACGACCCAAATTACTGTTTATAAAAATTCTTAATTCTCCAGGACATTCACTTATTATATGACACTCATTAAGCATTTATCCACTATAACTAATTAGCCTCAATTCTAGAAATTATGTCCACATCTATAGGAAACCCTTTTATATAATAGATCAAGGATACTTGAGACCTATCACATCAAGATACTATATGATCATCCAATAATATTGAGTTATTGATTGATAATTTGTAACTTCTGCTAAATTTCATGTTATATACTGACTATTTGGCAATCCTAAAACTTTTGAATTATAATTTCTATCCATATATATAACTTCAACAAAGGGTCTCATTTAATAAAACAATATCAATTATAAATAGTATACACCAAAGTATTTCTTTTTGAAAATCCTTGGTTGGCATCTTCATAAAAAAAGGCATGTTAAATGTAAATCCTCAATATAATAAGTAATCATGTAGTGATTGAGAACTCTTTGATAGTTAAAACTATTTCTAATGCTAGTTAATATTCTATCATACACATGATTAATAGCTTGAAGAAAGCTTCACACAGCTTTTCTCCCTATTACACACAAAAAAATGTTATGGCACCTAATCAAATATTTTCTCAAGTTGAATAACAACATATTAAAATCCTCCTTTTTATTTATTTTTTATTTTTTTTTTAGTCTTAGTGGCAACTAGGTTAGAAATTAGTTGTTAGAGTGTGCTTCAAATTTAAGTCTCCTAATGTGATTTTGCTAAATCAATATAGTGTTGCTCTCTCTGATAACTTCACAGAAAAACTCATAAGAAATATTTTAAAATTGGATTGGACCGACCAGTCCGGCTGGTTCAACCATGTATTAGTCCTTTGACCAGTTTAGTATAGGTCCAAAACCGCTTATACAAAGAACAAACCAAAATTGGTGGTTGAATCAACAAACAGATGAACCAAACTAGTTTTTGAAGAATCAATTGATTTTAATAATAATTAATTTTGGCCTTTCAATTTTGATATGATGGCTAGAAATAAAAGATTTGAATTAGAAATTGAGAAAATAATTAAAATATCATGTCTTAAAGTTCTAATTTAAAAACACGTTCCAAATATTTAAGATTTAAGCATTATAAATTAAAATGTTATATGTTGAATTAGTAAAAATATTATTATTATATTATTTAAATTAAATTAAAAAAAATTAATATTTATTATATCATCCGATTTAATCTTAGTTGAACCATAGTACATTGACCATCTCCTTTCAATTCAATGTCAGGTAAGTCTTGACAACCTTGCTCGTAAGTTTGATTTTTCATAATTGAGGCAATGTTGAGCACATGTCTTGTTGGTGTCAAATGCTCTTCCGTCGATCTTTTTTTAACAAAACTATTTTATAAATCTCATTACAAGTCTCATTTAAGCCTAAATGTTTATCAATATGCATCTTCTTGGAGTATACTCAACTTCAACCTAATAAATCAATTGAGAAAAATGTCAAAATCATCCCTTAACACTTTGTAGGGGAACATTTTGGTCCCTAAGTCAATAAGAGTATCAATTAGTCTCCTAACATTTTTTTAATATGGGCTAAAATAGTCCTCATACTCTTTAAAGAGGGGACTATTTTAAGCCCCATTAAAAAATTTTGAGAACAAATTTGACACTTTTATAGAACTGAAGCTAAAATGATCCCATGTAAAGAGTCAGGAAACTATTTTGACATTTTACTCTAAAACAATCTATAACATATTACATGATTGTACACAATGCTAAAATATACTTCTTTCATAAAACTACAATAACCACACCAAAGTCTGTAGATTTTCAATCCCCCGCCTTAGCTATTTTCTAAATAGACTTTTCTCCTTGCTTAGTATCTAGCCATTTATACAAATCATCCAATGCTTATGGCTTTTTCTTAGTTACCACCCAACTAGATTTTATCATATGTATACATATATATGATGCATATGATAAAATCTTGTTAAGTGTGTGTGTGTGTGTGTGAGTGTACATAAATATCACATTTTTTTTAGTAAGACTCGGCTGAAACCTTGCATGCATAATAAATTAGATTAATCTTAAAAGCATAAGAAACAAAAATCTATACTGCAAGTAATTCTGCAAAATTATTGAACAAGTTTTTTAAGTTCTAATGTTTTACACAAAAAGTATATACATATCTTCAAAATCACACCATCTTTCAGCAAATGACATAAAGAGCTACAGGGAACATTGTATAAAACTGTTATCACGGTGCTAAGATTCAATAGGAAACTCTCCTCATGGCGACTGGTGAGGAGAGATGGTTTACCAGAAAAAAAGGACTGTAAGCAATGAAAGTATCTCTCCTAGACGCAGGATCTAAAGAAATGTTAATGTAAGCACTCACACCTGCATTTTCAGAGCAGTTGTTTTCATAGAATGAAACTCCCGAAAAAGTTTTGTTCCAAGGCATCTTCAAGTGCAAAAAAAAAAAAAAAAAAAAAAAAAATTTTCAAACAAATATTGCCATATCACAGGATTATAAGATTTAACATTTGAATTGAATTTGTGCTCCTCGCAAGGCAGCCAAACATCAATTCAGAAGAAGCCTAAGGCATGTTACAACTATTTGAAACATCTGTGTAACTTCTAGAAGAATAATCCATAGCTCTAGTGAATCTGCAAAGGATTATTCATGTTTTTCGATTTTTATAGCATTCATAAGGGTAAGAAGCTTTACAAGTCTAAATTCAGCATATCTAAAATTAAAATTAATTAAATGTTTCAAAAAAACAAGGATACATAAATATACAGCAATTCAAATCATCCAAGATATAACACACACAAGTTTTGCAAAAAGAAATGCTATGTTATGCATCCGTTGTCACAAAGATGGCAAATTTTTAAATGTAGAATTAATGTTATAAAAAGATGTATTCAATTAAAGATCTTCAAGTATTTTGAAATATGCATCAAGTATATTATATCTTATTAAATATTTAAATTTCAGAAATACACATTTTCATGCATAGGTTTCGAGCACCAAAATGCTACCTAGATAAATATGAAAGTTAGGTGTGAGATATGTAAATACATAAGAATTGTGTGCTAGGTATGTAAAATTTATATGGTTTAAATCAATAACAACCAATTCACTGAATTTCACGTGTGAATCTCTTTGCGGACAAGTCGCGTTACTCCTCTTTAAAAAATTCGCATAACTAACAGTCAGGGTTTACAATCCATACTCTCCTATGTAATCATACACAGCAGAAAAGAAAACAAACAGATGGGAGGCAAGAAGATGTCAATACTTGCTGCATCCATGGAAGATCGCAATGTCATTAACAGCACTGAGAGTGAATCCACCGGTAAGGCTAAGAAGCACGATCGGTATCACCCGGCGACGGAGAAAGCTCTTCCCGCTGCCGACCTGCTCCGAGGAAGTAGAGAATAAGCTGCAGCCACGCAATTTCGACCAGAATTATATAGCCAATTGCCGATAAGAGAGAGAAAAGTATCCGGCATGGATTGGAACGGATTTACCTCACAGGAGGAAGCTGATCTAGACGGCTTATCTTCATGGAATCGGCACTTCTTCCGAGCAAGGAGGGGAGAGAAAGGAGCTTTTTGAGCAACATATTAGCTCTTCTTCTCTCGCACTCCGTGGGTTCTGCCCGAGATCAGCTGCGACGATGCAGCCTTCCCTGCTCGAACTCGCGAAGCAGCCTTCGAACCCTAATTAGGAGCCGAGAGTTTGAATTACGGGAAAACTTTCCAATAAACAAATAAATGTAATATAACATCTAAAATTTCATATTTATTCATATTCATAACACTCATTTATTAGTGTATAGGTTCATTTTTATCAATAATATGCTAGAATATGAAGAGGGTTTAGAGAAAAAAGATTATTCAATAAAATAAGCTGCAGCGCGGGTCTGTTTGGGGTAGTTGCAGCTTATTGAATAATCTGCTGATAAACTGATTAAAAATAATTTGCTGATAAGCTAAGTGTAGTGACTATTATACTATTATAAATTTTATTTTTATTTTTTTTTTGAAAAAATCAGACCGGTACCAGAAAGCTGCCGTCGCACCTATCTAGGTGCAGTGTGTTTAAAACACATAAGCTGACAAAAATGCAGTTTACCCAAACAAATCTAGTGCGTTTTCAAAACGCCACCACACCACATAAACTGTCTCAAACGGACCCTAAATATTGAACAAAAATCTTATAAAAACAACTAATTTAAGTGTATATAAGAAAATGCAGAATCTCAAAATAATAATAATAATAATAATAATGTGAAATTAAGTAGAATGACTTTAATAATGTTGGTCGTAATTGGAGGATAGATGAAAAGAATGACATTCTTGAATTATGGAAGTCTAAAATGTCATCAGACAAACTGAATTCTAAACCACTCTCCTTCTATAAGATGAGAGAAATCCATTATGAGGAAAAAAATGATTGTTGAATTGATATGTATTTGACACGTCAGACATCAAAAGACGATCAATTGGAAATGTAGAAGGGTTTGATGGTATGCTTAATTAATCTCTTTATAAGACATTAGTCACAAACACACACAAGACATTGGCAAACCTAAAAAAAATAATCGAATGGAAACATTAAACATCATATGACAACTAGTGATCTGTTTGATCTGTTTGATATGTTTAGTTGTTCTAATAGAAGGAGAAATCAATGATAAGAGAGATGGGAATCAGATGTTAGTGGATGATAGAAATCGAGCACAGACATAGATTAAATGATAGTTAAGTGGAACAAAGGTATGCATGCTTGTTCAGCTTGTACAAAGAGAGACTGATGATTAGGAGGAGAGCATTAGACAACGATGGCTTACATATGTTCAAATGATAATTGCTTGGGAATATCAACATCTGATTACAATCAATGATATGATGTGTCACAATCTTGGTAAAGGGGAGATTGACTACAATGAATGCTAGTATTGGATATCAATGGTTGATAAACATCAGACATTGGTAAGCAATGCATGGTGGTGCACTAGTCACATTGGACATTGACGAAGATCAACAAATTGCTTGGTTGTTCTCATTATAGGAGCGGAGAGTGAAGATTGCAAAGGCAAGTACAAATTATCAGTGAGTGACATCTATTGGATCTTAGTTTGGTTTAGGTGATGACATGGTGTGCTTCAGGTGTTGAATGAAGAGTGGAGAGTTGGGTAGTCTAGCTCAATTCTTCTATGTATAAATAGAGAGATTGGCTGATTTAGAATGCTAATATTAAATAATAATAATCCTTGGTTGAGTTGAAACTATGGTGTCAGTCAGTGTTTGGTGAGGGTAAGTGTTGATATAAGGTGATGACTAGCCTCACTATTGAGCAGTGATGAGTATCAATATCGGGCGACATAAAGGGGAATCAGATGATGGCTTATATTTAATGGTGGTGATCTCGAAGTCGTTTTTGAAAGTTTTTTATTTGAATATTTGCATTGCAATATAAAAATTAAGACAAAATTCGAGTTTTTTCTATGCAAATTTTTATGATGAATTAGTTATAATGATTGCAAGCTAGCTATAACATTTTATGGATGATTTTTTATTTACTATATTAAGCATAACCTTATACAATATAATGATATTAATTCTTCTACTAATCATGCAAGAACATCAAAATCATAGAACTCTAAGTTTGCGATTTAATGATGGTAGAAGTTGGGTGAATCCAAATAATGTGACAAGAGTTTATGAAATAAGAATCAAAGAGGATAATAAAGAGAGAGTACCCTTTTAAAGAACAATAAAAAATAAAAAGTAAGAAAATATTCCACAATGTAGACCCTATTAAAGTTAAAAAGCTACTGACTAGTTGAAAACTCACGATAATTTTAATTAATATTTTCAAATTTAAATTTTAAAATAAAAAATAAGCAATATAAGAAATAATATTTATAAAAGACAACTGAACTAATAAATAAATAATTTATTTAAAACTATTTTAAGTTTCAATAGAACTAATTTTATTACATTAGTTGCTTTTTTTTATTTATTTGAATGATCAATTATTAGTGATAAAATTTAAAATTAATTTTAATTTTACCGTCCAACCGTCTATCCCTGCCTTGATAAATGAAAAATCCAGGCCAGGTCATGAGCTCATGAAGTTATGAAAAAGATTCACATGTAAATGATAACTTTTAGCAAATTTTACTTGCAAATCAAAATTATATTTAAACAAATGAAGCTGGCTAACATTAAACAAAGCCATATCTGTGAAGGTAATGGTTCTCTTATTGCATAAAGAAAGCTACAGTAGCATACAATACTAGATTACATTCTTTAAACGAATTAAACTAACATTAAACAAAACCTTAATCTGGATAATTAGTCCTTTACCAGACAGTATTAGATTGCATGATCACAAATTAATTAGGCTGGTCAGAAGTTATTAAGAGACTACTCATGAAACTTAATTTTCACTGCTGAATATTAGAGCTGGGTGCATCACTCTTAAATATTGTCAATTTCATGAGCTGCGAAGAAAATTCATTATTGGTGCTGCATCACAAAAGATAATTGCTTACATCTCAATGTGTCAAAAGAAAGACAATTTAAACCACTATACAGGCAAGCATATATTCCATGAATCCAGCAAAAAAGATATAACAAAAATATATATACTATGGTAATAATGAAGAATAATGCACATTTGGCTCATGCTTATAAGATCTCAGAATTGACAAAACAGCCCTTTTCCTGAGGCCGAGAGATCAACAATTTCCAGCAAAACTTCAGTTAGTAATCATGGCTGCTTTTGTTTCACCTGCTAGCCTGAGCTTGTGCTTTGGGCTGGACTGCCATAGACATCGAACGAAGCTTGTTGGCGATCTCGGTGAACGAAGGGCGTTGAGAAGGATCGGCGGACCAGCACTGCCCCATTAGCTTTCGCCATTCAGTGTTGCAGTTTTCAGGGATCGGCGGACGAAGGGTGTTGTTAACAATTCCTCCTTTGCGTTATTAATAAAAGAACAAATCAATCCATCGAATGAACTCAAACATAGTGAAGAATATTTATTGATACGGCAATAGAAAATTATAAAAATAGAATGATATGATTTCTATAAAATTGAAAGAGCAAAAAATTCAGATTCAGGCCCGTTTAACGTGTATAAATTCTGATTAATCTAGGTTGGTTTGGATGAAATAATAAAAGTTAAGTATATGCTACATCATAATTATAATTAAATACAAAAGGAGGGTAGGTGTCTATATATATATATATATTAAAAAAAAGGAATGACCGGAGGCTATTATACGAGCTCCGTCCATTCCTCATGCGCCTAAGAATTCGAGTACCACACCCTACACTCAGGGGGAATCGAACCCCAGACCAGAGAAAACTTACAATTGACAAGCAAATATCCGACCAACTGATCTGAGTATGTGAAGCACGCGTGCGCGCACACACATATATATAGACTAATTGATATATTTGTGTGTGTGTGTGTGTGTGTTGAATCTAAAAGTGTCCGGGAAACACACCCAAGGAATAAAAAGTTTTGCTAGGAAGTGATTAGTGAGAAGAGAGTACCGTAGGGAACAAAAAAAAGGAGTGACATTTATTCATGACATGGACCCCTATTTCTAGACACAGGTCTCAGCGGTATAAAAATACATATTAGCCCCCTCATCATTAACCTTTCAGAAGGGCTTTTTGGTGACTACAAAGTTATTCACATATAATAAAATCAGGGACTGATTCGACCGATGAGAGTTGTCGATCGTCTGATAAGTTTTGACTCGATCGATATTTAGTCCAAAAGAGTGCTTCATGTCGATCGTTCTGAAGGCTGATTACCGCCCTGCGGGAGCTTCTCCTGGCGCCTTCCGCCGATCGTTCGAACAAGGAGCTTCTCTTGCCAATATTCAACCAAAAAGCGATCGTCAAAAGCTATATTTGATCGTCCGCATCTTCTTCCTGAGTCGTTCATCTACTTTGAGATACGTGCTGACATATTTTTATATATACATATTCAGTTCTCCGATTCTCTTGCTCATCAAAAGCTGTAAAGTCCACGATGATAAGAGAATATTTTTAACGTGCATGAAATATTTAAATGACATTATAGCGCAGTAATAGACTTTCCTGACCCGTGCCATTATAATAGGCTTTGAGGCAAGGGAGAATTGCACCATCTTTGTCTCTCATGGCCCCTTTGTCTTGTGACCTTTTCTTTTCGTGTTTTTTGAGATGTCTGGAGGAGCAGCGCTTTCCAATAAGAGTGTCCTCTTCAAAGCCATGAGTGATATGCGGGCCCAGACTCGTAAGTTGGACATGAAACGTAAGCATGCGAGTGAGGTATCCGCAAAACAGGTGAGCAGGAAGAGAGTTGTGCTCAAGCCAAGAGCCGACGATCAAGATAGCCGACCTGGTTTTTCCGATTTCCTTGCGGGCTCACCTTAGGTGAGGACTACAGGACAAGCTAGAGGCCATCATGACAATCATCATACAGGGAACTCGCCAGGGGTGAGTGTTCCTGCTGCGGGAGAGAGATTGTTTGTTTAGGTGGTTGCGGTTCCCTAGAGGGGTCCTGAGGAGGCGAAAACTTAGGCCAAGGTATGGCTTCGATCGAATAAGAGCATTCTTTCTTTTGAAGATGGAGGATAAGGGAAAGCCAGTGAGAACATTTTATCTGACACCACATTTGAATTGGGTTACATCTCTCTTTTTTTTTGTGCAACAACTAAAGTCCTAACTGTCGATTTTGTAATAATAGATGCTAACATTAGTTCTGAGGATGATGCGGTGGTTGTGGACCAGGTTGCGATCGAGGGAGTGAATACAAGAAAGGTTGTTGCTGGGAGAGCGGAAATGGCGGAACTGAGTGCACCGGAGGAAGGTGCTGAGCAGGATGTTGAGGATCAGGGTGTTGAAGGTCAGGGTGCGGGCATTCAGGCTTCTTTCGGTGCTGCGAGGGAGAGGGATGCGGCTGAGGGGCGCCGTATGTCCTCTGACTTCATACTTCGCCTCCTTGCTGAGATAGAGGAGTGTTTTCTTCATTTTATGGGGTATCCTCGAGGAGATAGTAATGAAAAAATTACTGAGGTTTTTGGGAGAGTCGAATAGGTGGATAGGGAAGTTGCTGCACTGCGCGAAGAACTTATAATTTTTCAAGGGGAGATGTTTGTCGATCATGGGAAAGTTACGTGTCTTTGTTTGGAACTGTCACCTGTTAGAAAGGCCCTCACTGCTCAGCCTAGGAAGAGCCAGAATGACCTTTACAAGTTGGACGACATGTTTATGTATGAATGACTTCACCATCAAGAGTTTTTCTCGGGCGGAGCCTCGAAAGATTGCTGAGTTAGATTTTTCCTTCCTCAGTTGTAACTGAGGGTTTCACGCGACGTTTCCTCTCTTTTTTGTGTATATAAATAAATAAACAATGAAATAAAATAAAGTATTTTTCTATTTTTGGTAATGATTATATTATTTGGGTAACATGTAGTTTCGTTGCATCGGCCTTGTCGGCGGCTTTTTGGCCTACCAGATATCCCCTTTCTCATTTATAAACATAAGTAGTCATGCAATCACTAAAGGCTTCTGTTCCTTTTCTCCCCTTGGCTTCGGGGTTTCACTATTCTCTTCTTCTTTCTCGCATAGCATCGTAGATTCCATGGTTCGGAAATACTCCCAGGAATCGTTTGGTTCAATTCCTGATATGAAGTTTTTAGTCCTATCCATGGCGGACGTAGAAGAGATTCAGGATCGTTGTGTCCTGCATTGCTGCCACGAACGAGCTACAAATTATTTCTCTCATGACCTTGTCTTTTGTAAAGATCACTTTAAGATGGGTTTTAGGCTACTGTTTTGTTGAGAGTTGCGGTCAATCTTTAATCATTATGGTATCATCTCTACTCAGATCCTTCCCAACTTCATCGCCTCATGACTTATGTGCTCTTCTGTCGGATGATGAAAATCTCGTGGTCAATCGAACTCTTCAATCATTTCTTTTCCTTTCAGATTGGTTGTGATGGATATATTCAGTTCGCTGCCGACACTAAGATTCAATTGTTGGGGCTAGAGGACAAGGTGAACGACTAAAAAACGAGGTTCTTGATCGCCTCGTGTGCGGGCAAATGGGGAGATCTACAATTCTCCTACAGAGTGCGAGGTGAAGAAAGTGAATACCTTGTCAGGGAATTTTCAAGACTACAGGGCGCTTATTGATGACCAACCTCTCTTTTTGTTTCAGTGCCTTGACCCCAATGTAATCGAACGCATGATTCATCTAGATGGGGTTCGTACCATGACCGAGTATTTGTGGAGATCGGCCGACAATAGGGAGGCTGCTCAGAAGAGAGCTGATGGGGAGAGGGACACTTTGAAGAGACCTCAGAGGAGAAGCGGTCCTCCCTCACTCAGCAAAGGCCGGGATCGGTCCGACTCGATTAGGTCGATTGAGGGGGATGATAAAGGTTGGTGTTACTAATCTTCTTGTTTGTTTGCGTGTGAAACACATTTTTTATGACTTTTGTGTAATTTGCTAGGTTCTTCAAAAAGAAGCGAGGAGGACTCTTCCCGATCGCATAGCCTTCCTGAGTCCGGAGGCCCGTGAGTGCGCCCATCGGCTAGAAGAGTTATGGCGACGACGAGGTAGGCTTTGTTCATACCTTTGCAGGAGCAAGGAGAGGCGAGTCACGCTTCCCGCCCTACCTCTGTTAAGGACAATTCCGAGGAGGGACAAGGGGAAGCAGATCGGACGAAGAGTGGCGCCCTTCGAAGGGAAGGAAAAGCTCCCTTCCCTGATGTCGACTTACATCGACCTCCCATGCAAGAGGGTGTGGTTCCTCTTGAGTGAGCGTTCTCGCAAGATCAAGGAGCTAATGTTTGGATGAGCGATCACTATGCTCTTACTAATATAGAGATTGAGTCATTCCCTATCAATCCTCTGAATGAAGACTACCTCTCGAATCTAAGCGGCATGCTTTGGCTCACGCATTCGAGAGAAACTTGAGGTCAATGGAAACAAGAGATATGTTCCAAGTGTTCGATTTTTATCATGCCCTGTCTGGCAGGCTTCACATTTTCAGACTCTTCTCCTAGATAAAGTCGAGGAGGATGTTGGGCGACCTGCCTCGCGAGCTCAGAAGTTAAAGTGGAAACTTACTATGGCGGAAGAGAGATTGAAGCTTTCCTTTGAGGAGAGTAAATAGATGCCCAACAACATGAGAAACATGTAGTGGCTCTTCTGAAGGAACGTAGAGAGCTAAAGAAAAAAATGCCTTTGATGCTCACTAGGGAGGCATATGTCGAGAGTCTTTTTCGTCAGGTTACAATCCACACTTCTCTCGCGATCGAGAGGTTCGTAAAGCATAAGTTGGTGGATCCCAAATGACGAAATATGGAGGAGGTTGGGAAGCTTCTCTTAGATTCAGAGGACAAAGAAGAGTTGGTGTACCGAGAGTCCGATGGCGTCGAGGGTGTGGAAAGGACAAGGGAGGCAGACTTAAGGGAGTCCTCGAATGCTCGAGGTTAAAGGGTCCCCTTTTGTATGTTTTTATTCTTTTTTGTTTCCTTTTGTTTCATTTTAAATGAGATTGTTATTTGTAATTTGCAAATGAACTGTCGTGACATATGGAAATTTTTTAAGCTGGAGGTTTCATTATCCCGAACCTTTTCTTCTTCACCTGCTGATTGCAGAAATGTATGAGTAGCTTCAATTGTTATGAGTTTCTGTCGAGTGCGCGTGCATTTCATATGCAGTCATCATAGACTCCCCACGAAGGACTATCGTTCACGAACCCCTTGAGGAGTTTGTCACTGTCGGATGTCGATACGTCCCACAGGCTATTAGCGATTGACACCCCTCGCGGAGCTTGTCTTTGTCGGGCGTTAACGCTTAAAGTAGAGCGCATAACGATTGTTCGTGCACCCGCACCCCTCGCAGATCTTGTCACTGTCGGGTGCCGATACATGCCATAGGCCACTAGCGATGGTTAGACACCCCTCGTGGAGCTTGTCGTTGTCTGGTGTTAATGCTTAAAGTATGGCGCAAGATAATTGTTCACGCACCCCTCGCGAAGCTTGTTTCTGCCGGGTGTTAATGCTTAAAGTACGGCGCAAGACAATCGTTCACACACCCCTGGTGGAGCTTGTTGTTGTAGAATGTCGATATGTCCCATAAGCCACTGGCGATTAAACACCCTTTGCAGAGCTTATCACCATATTCTGCTTCATGGGGCAATATGATGGATTAACGTTCAATCTGTGGCAGGCGACGTCGATCGACACGCCCGACATCTCATCTCAGCGGTCGTCCATGCGAATAAATCTCGATTTTCTTGGAGGGTGTGGATCAGCAGCTCCATGTAACTTGTATCCAAAACTTAACTGATCCAAAAACATCTACCTTGTTCTCCTTCGACTGTCGGACCTCACAGGTGGTCTCGTTGGTCTCGAGGCCAGAGTCCCATGCGTTTTGGATGTCTAGAGGATCGTGGTCTACGTTGCTTGTGGCTCGCAAGTAGCAAACCCGGGACTGCTCCAGGTCCCTCTGACCATGATAATTTCTCCGTTTCTAGGAAATTTGACAGCAACATAATAGGTAGAGACCACCGCTCTAAAATTGTTCAGCAGCGGTCAAACGAATATAGCGTTCTACATTGGGGTGAATCCATCACATGGAATCTTCCGTGAGTGTAAATTATTTCTCGTTTTCTCCCCAACTTACCGACAGCCCGAACACTCCTAGCACTTCCTTTCACTCGAGAATCCATATAGCGGACTGACCGACATGGTCATTCGATCAACATTGAGGCTCATTTTGTCGAATACCTGTTTGAATATTACATTCACAGAACTCCCTGTATCAATGAGAGTGCTTCCTACTTGATAATTGTTGATTATCGTCGTCATTACAGTGACGTTTTTATATAGATTTCACTTTAGGGAAGGTCCTCCTCAGTGCAATAGATCGGCGGATGACCTCTGGGCTTCGGAGCAAAGGTTGCGGTGCAGAGTTCCTTGTTTGTTGTCTCTTCCAGCTTGTCCTTTTGAGTGGTTCGCTTCCTCCAAAGATTGTGGGCACATACCCCTAGCCCCCTCATCATTAACCTTTCAGGAGGGCTTTTTGGAAAATTACAGAGTTATTTGCATATGATAAAACCGGAGATTGATTCAATCGATAAGAGTTGTCGATTGTCCGATAAGCAATAACTTGATCGATATCTAGCCCAAAAGAGTGCTCCCTATCAATCGTCGGGAAGGTTGATTACCACCCTACGGGAGCTTCTCCTGGCGCCATCCGACGATCGATCGAATAAGACACTTCTCATGCCAATATTCAGCCAAAAAAAGATCGTCGAAGGCTATGTTTGATCGTTTGCATCCTCTCCAGTATCTTCTCTCTATTTTTTGCTCCAGGGGAACATTTTTTATGCCCCTCATCTTAGGCTTGTAACCTCCTTTTGATCTTAATAGAGTTTTATCTTTGCCGAATATATATATATATATATATATATATATATATATATATATCCCGCATGTCGTCGTTCCGCTCTGCTAGGGTTTCGCATGGCGAACCCTAGCTCCTCGCATCGCCTTCGCCTTCATATTCGTATGCTTTTGCTTGACAACTGTCGTTGTTTCTCACACCGTCAGCTTCGTCTAGCGCATTAGCTATCCAGTGCGTCGTCTACAGACCCTGCTTCTGCTCGACAGCTGCGTTGTCTGTGATAGAGCCGGGCTTTGTTGTTGGCACTGGCCGCGGTGATGGCCTCATGGCTTTCCTACGCCGCCACCCTCGTCGGTGATAACCCAACCAAACCCTCAAAATGCTGCAGTGGTTCACAAATGCAGCTCTCATTTCCACCTCGCAGATAGTCCGATATTCCCCCAGATGTACCATGATTCTGTTGCAGGATATGGAGATTGCAATCTCATCAATAAAGTAGAGAAAATGCGGACAGACTAACAATATTCTTCTCTGACGCTGAAATTTCAACTCGTGCAGGAAAATACAAATTTACTTTAGTGGGAAAGTTTCAATTAGGTTGCCCTAAGATGGAGACTATCATGAAGGTTTTTGAAAATTTCAAACTAGTTGGGGCTTGGCAGGTGGGTCATTTCGATGGAAGACATGTTATGATACAGCTGAGTATAGAAGAAGACTACACAAGGATTTTTTCAAAGAAATTCATCACAATCGAGAACAAACATATGAAATTGATCAAATGGACCCCTGATTTTGATCCCAGTCAAGAACACCCAATTGCACCTATCTGGTTCTCATTACCTGAACTCAAACTTCAATTTTTTGACATACCTATCTTATATGCAATTGGGACTATCCTTGGAAAACTTTTACAGGTATATTTACCCACCGTTCATTTCTCAAGACTCTCTATTGCAAGGATTTTGATTGAAAGAGATATTACACTACCAGATGTAAAAGAAGTTTGGTTTGGCTCTGCTCACAATTGTTATTGACAAAAAATTATTATGGAACAAAAACCTTACTACTGCAAGCACTGCAAGATGTTTGGACACCCGCAGGAGAAATGTTTCAAATTGCACCCACAGTCGAGAACTAATAGTCAAAAGCAAGAACATGTTGTTAGTGCACCCCACGTGCCTGAACGTGCTTCTAACAAACTGAATAACAACCAACCTGAGGAGGGAATCACCACAAGACAGGAGTTGGTGTTTGCCCATGAGAACCCTTCTCCTGACCATACTACAACAAATAATGTCCCTATTCAGAAAGCATCAGGTGCAGAGGTGACAGTTCACACTTCACATACACTGGAACCTATCGCCGTGACAACAACTGTCTTTCCTTCTACTGCGGTTCTAAATCAGACCGATGATCACACGAGTCAGTCTTCTGATCTGATGAAGAATGACAATGAAGAATGACAAGTTTACACTTCTCAACGGAAGAAGAAGGCCGGAGAACACTCCAACTTATAAATTTAATGGATGATACATTAGTTACTCCTGACAATGACACGACACTTCAAAGTTTGTTATCTGGCTCCGCTCCTAAAACTAGAGGAAGAGTCAGGACTAAACTGGCTCGTCCCTAGTTTTTGTTTTCTGCATGTTTTAATTTTTTGAGTTTTATGTATATTTTTTTTTGGTATTACTGTACATGGTATTGTATGGGTAGGGTGTCTCTATTGGGTCATCTCATACAACCTTTATGTATCTTTTTTATTTCAATAAAATCAGCCCTTGGGCTTTTCTACAAAAAATATATATATATTTAAACAACTGTTTAAATGAACTGGTGCACCTGATGAACAACTCGAACTTGGCTCGAAAAATACTCGAACATGTTTGTTCAAATGGGTAAATAAACAAGTTTAAATTTTTTTAAAACTCAAAGATTAAATGAGCTGAATTTGATCATAGTCTGATTAGTTTATTAAAATTATAATAGCTAGAAATTATTTAATTATATATTTCATAGTAACATATTATGATTTAATATGTATATAAATTAAATATAATTTCTTCTTGGTAAATTTACATACTTAATACACAATTCTTATGTATTTACACATCTCACACCTAAAATTTCATATTTAGATACATAGCACTTTGGTACTTGTATTTCACTTTTAAGAATTTATAATAGTTTTATTTTCTATTTGATAAAGATTTGAATATTATGTGTCTAAATATGAAATTTTAAGTGTGAGATATATAAAAACAATAGAATGGTGTGCTATCAATGCAAGTGCCACTTTTTTTTTTTTTTTCAAAGAAATAGTTTTTTTTAATACTTATTTTTATTATTTGATTGAAAGAAATTTTACTTACAATTTATATATTATTTTTTCTTACTTGGTATAAATTAATTAGTTGCCAATTTAAGATTTATTCGATTGCTTATTTATTTAACTTAGTAAAATGATTTGTTAATAAATTTATATAAAAAAATCAAGAACTTATTCAAATATTTAGCTTGTTCAATTAATATAAACAAGTTAAGTACAAATCTAACATAGACGTGACAGCAAGGCTCAAGCTTAGACTAAACATGAACTTAAGCCAAGTTCAATCCATGACATACTTGACCTGATCAAAATCGATTACAGCCCTAATTAGAACCAAAAGCTTTGAGTGATTTACCTATGATAGCACCACAATGCATATTAGCATAAGGTTCCTCTCCTGTTATGATCTCCCACATTGCAATTCCAAATGAGAAGACATCCACCTATGCAAAAATGAAACAAAAATTTTAGTTTCCGTGATAAAGATACAATATTATAATCACAAAAATACCTTCTCAGAAACCCGGTTGCTGCTCCCATTCAATAACTCGGGAGCCATCCATGGAAGAGTTCCTCTCACACCTCCAGAAACCAAAGTATTACGCTTAATTCTTGACAGTCCAAAATCTCCCACCTGGAGTTTTACCATAGATTCCTCAAGTTCATTAATAAATTCAAAACAGAAGTGACAGATTTAGAAAGATGACCATAAATGCAATGACCGCCCGATATATGAGGGTGGTTGATTCTTAAATAGGAATACTCAAGTTAATTTATAATGAATAATAATAATAATAATAATAATAATAATAATGATAATGATAACATTGTTTGTTACAATTTACATACATACCACCCAAAACATTGATATTTAAAAATTAACTATACAGGTGATTTTTTTGAACTATTAAGCCGATGTATTTATGCATTCCACCATCAAACTATTGAGAATTTGATAAAAATGAAAATTTTCGGTTGGAGTTTTACCATGAATTTTGATATTTGAGTGATAATTTGAAAAATGGATGAAAAAAGGCAATTGATTTGTAAGTAGGAAGTTTCGGGTGGTGTGTATGTAATTGCCCCTTTCTAATTGGGATAATTACATACAAACCACCCAAAATATTGATATTTACAAATTAATTATCCAGGTGATTTTTTTGAACTACTAAGCTGATCTACTCACGCATGCCACAATCAAATATTTACCACTAATTTTGATATTTGAGTGAGAATTTGAAAAATGGATGAGGAGGGTGCTTGATTTGTAAATAGGAAGTTTCAAATGGTCTATATGTAATTGCCCCTTTCTTGGAATAATTGTATACAAACCACCCAAATCATTGATATTTACAAATTAACCACCAGGTTTTTTTCTTTTTTTTTTTTTGGACTATTGAGCCCAGTGCCACAATCAAATTATTGAGTACTTGATAAAAGTGAAAAATATGAGTAGGGGTATTACCATGCATTTTGATACTTGAGTGAGAATTTGAAAAAAGGATGAAAGAGGGAGGTTGATTTGTAAATAGGAAGTTTCAGGTGGTCTGTATGTAATTAAGCTACCTTTTAATGATCTTACGATCCTGGAATAAGAAAAAAATCAAATATCAAAAGTCACCCCTAATCATAATGGTTACAATTTTGATTACTTCTAATATGGTTTGAAAACAAAAATTTTGAACTCAATTTAGAACATGTCACGGATTTAGAGACTCTCCCAGACCAATGGTGGTGTTCAACACATCATCGACCCACAAAATTAATGACCTAAATGCAGCAAAAAAAAAACCATGTATGGCCTCTTAAGGCATATGGAAAGCAAGCAAAAATTATATGGTTGTTGGGCACTGATAAAAAATGCTTGAAACTACCCACCACCTCAAGAAAAAAGTGTATAATTTGTAACACTCCAGCTGACCACCCCCTCTCCATCCTTCAGATCAACTAGAGATGTAGCAAGGAGAACAAACAAGTCAAACTCTCTCACCAACACTTAATCTGATTTATGAAAATCAGGATTGAGTGAGTGGGGGATTGATCTCAACAGACCGTCACACGCAAATACTTGAACTTTAATTTATTCAATATTGATTCATAAAAAAATATAAAGGGAGGCGTGTAAAAATGATCCTCAAACTATATACAAAATTGTTAAACACTCAAATATATAAGAGTACGTGCCCCAAAAATCATCAAAATTTCATCAAAAAAATCTTTACAATAAAAGACTATTCAAAATACAATTCACCCGGTTAATTGCCCACCTACTTCTTGCACCTCTCTGAAAAACAACTTGATATTGAGTATCTTAAGATGTTTTTGTGGATGGAGCTAGTCTTCATGATTTCTCTTACTATATTTTTCCTATTCCCAGCATTCAACTTCATAAGAATGTTGCTTCCTCTTCTTTGCAGATGGCCCCTCTATCTATCCGACCTCCCTATTCCTCATTATTCTTGCATCATGGAATTGATTCTAATTGGCACAAGTGGACCACTACCCTTGGCAACCCTGCTCTTTTCTTCTGAGAGGTAGAGATTTCGAACTTGCAGCTCCATTTTCTTATACCTAGGTTAAGAAAATATCATTTGAACGGTCGAGCTTGGAGATTATTCAACCCTTTATGACTAATATTTGACTCTTAGGTGGTTAGGTTGTGATCTTTTGATAGACGTCAAATGCTTGTTAGATTTTTATCAGATAAATGTTATTGGAGATCTTTCTCTAGGCATTAATAGCATGTTAATGGCTTACATATGCATAAATTTAAGAGGACCCCTATCTTTAACAATTCTAAGGAACTTAATATTGCCACTATTTAAGTAGTTCTCCCTCATCATCATGTCCATTACATCGAGAAATCCATACTTTACTCTCTATGCTCAATCTTCGGTAAGTTTTCTAGATGCATCCACCACTACACTCTCTTAACCATCTATAGCTCGTCTTTCTGTTGGGATGGATGTTTCAGCCCTTTTGACTCAGAAGGTATGTATTGGCACTTCTCACAGTAGATAACAAAAAGTGAAATATAAATATTTGACCTCATTTTGTTATTAGTTTTTTTTTGGCATAAATTTTTGTAGTTTCAAGGCCCACCCCAAATTAAGGAAATATACTGCATTTAGCTCCTTTGATCACCATACAAACTCAAAGAGTTTTGCGGTAAATACTCCAAATCAATTGGTCACCTTTTGGTGCTCTCATGATATCGATATTCCTCTAAATGCTTCTCTTGATTTAGTGCCTTCCCTTATTGATGGCATGTTGACACGAAGTTCCTGCTTAGTCCCATCAGTTTAGGAAGTTAGAACTTCTAATCTACCTAGAACAATACTTGAGTCAAACAACTGCCAACCTATAGAGGACCCTGTGTTGCTGTTAATATATTTTCTACGTGTGATACTATACATGTATTTGCCAATGCTAATATAGCACATTCTGAAGTGGAGAGTTCCGATAATTTCTAGCTTGAATAAATCTTAATAATTTATTACATGTTATGTTTGGTGTAAAAATATTTTAAATTGGTTCTCTCTTTGAAGCACAAATTGGAAAAAACCTTTCTTCCTTCTCCTTCATTTACTAGATTCCCAGCAAGGTGCAGTAACTCCCCTGTTGACTTTGATATTTTGGACTTGGCTGAATTATGAATGTCAGCATGATCCCTTCTCTTGAATGTATTTACTCTCTATGCTTTATTTGCACTTGATCTATGTATTTTCGTTTTCTTTTTTATGGCGGCCTTATGTAAATAGGGCTGTCAATTTGGCTCGTTGTTCGTGAACAACTCATGTTTGGCTCGTTAAGCAGTTCGTGTTCGGCTCGTTCGTTAAGCCTAACGAGCTGAACACAAAAAAAATTTTAAGCTCGAAATGTAAACGAGCCGAACACGAAAAAGAGTTTGTTCGCTCGTGTTCGGCTCGAAAAAAAAATTTATATAACTTTTTATATAACAATATATTACATATATTATTTATATAATAATATTATATATATATTATATAATAATAATAATATATTATACATATTTATGTCTAAGTTTAAATCATAACACCTCATATGACAATGTGGTTAGTGTCTTTTTTTTTAAATAATTATTTCATTGTTTATTTTGATGAATGAAATATCATCAACCTGCAACATATGCAAATTATATGATATATAGAAAATAAAAAAGAAATTTTTCTCATCTTACCTCTGCTCCAAATGCTTCCAAACGAAAAGCCTCAGTGCATGATGCATTGGCTTCAAGAACATTGAGGCCTAAGTCTTCAAAGACTTCAAGAATAGAGACTAAATGCATTATCACGTATCCTTTTCATTGACTAGTTATAAAAAAAGAAATACAAACACTTTATAAAAAAGAATAACATCATAAGCAAATAAACACAAAGTCCAATTAATTAAAATAAGTAATTACAATCAAAACTAAAGATATAAAATTCAAGCGCCATTTATTTAATTAACACACATTCCATTGGGAGACTCTCAAGGAATAATTGCATTTTATCAAATAAAAAAATAAACGAAAAAACATGTACCTTGCATATTGGCCTTTGGGAATCTCTCAGGTTAACTAATAAATTGTCACACTTCAAATCAAAATGGACAATATTCTTGGAATGCAAGTATTCCATCCCAAAAGCTGCATCCATTGCTATTATAAGTTTTTTACGAAGATCTAGTTCCCTACAAAAAAAAATTCCCATGGTTGTAACCTTCTCATTGAAGTAAAAAGAGAACTATTGCATGGGAATTCATAGTTGCCTCACCTATCCTTCTGCAGCAGGACATGCCTAAGAGATCCATTTACCATGAATTCTGTTACGGTAGCCAGCGAGCCACCTCCTCCATCTGGAACTACCCCATAGAAAGCAACCACATTTGGGTGATGAAGCTTTGAGAGGATTTGGGCTTCCCTCCAGAAATCCTTAGTCTGCAGATATCAGGGAAAGATAAACTTATAAAGCGCATTTTCTATTGATAAAAGTCATAAATTATTAGCAACAACTTGTTCTTCTAATGTGCACACATTTTATGACACGGAATTCTTTATGGAGAGAAAAAATATGAATATCTCTACAATATGTTACTTGCACCCACCAATCGGTCTTGCTCAGACAATTTCCCCGAAAAGCAGCTTTTCTTGATTCGCTTGATAGCAACAGCAGTTCCCCTCCATTTTCCATAAAAAACAGTACCAAAAGTACCTGATCCCAATTCACGTAGTTCTTCAAGGTCTGCATTCTTTATAATCTGTTCATCAGCAACATAAATCAATTCCAATAAAAAAACCAGGTGTTAACCTATATCACAGTAGAAATAAAAATATTATAGCTGAAATTCAAAAGCAATTACAAACAAATACATTTGCAATAAGAAAACAACGACACAAAAACAAAAGACCCCCTAAGGCGAGGATCTACAGTGGTGGGCTGCATGCCAAGGTCCAGGAAAAAGAGAGCTGGAGGTGATAGAGACGCTTAACATTAGTGAGTGGAAGGTAGTTTGGTGGCTAGGCCGCAGGCTGGAGGCGGTGGAGGGTGTTGCAGCAAGCCGAAAGTGGATTGGGCTGACTGTACAGCAAGCGGGGGAGTACGGAAGGGAGCGACAGCAAGGTAGGAGGCTGAGAGGAGGTAAAGGAGGGTGCTAGGATGGCTGGAACAGTGGTGGCAGCAATTGAAAGGATTGGAACCGTGGAAAGGCAGTGAGAGGGCTGTCTTCGGGATAAAGACAGCAAGGAGAAGGGGTCAGTGGCAAGGGAGAGTCGATTGGGAGGAGGGAGAGGCGGTCGACACTACAACATGGCAGTTTTCCGGTGGCTGCAGCAAATACAGTGGCAGGAGGGTTGCGGAGGGCTGGGAAGGTCGAGAATAATCAACACCTTGGACGAGATAAAACTGGAGCAGCACTCATCATCGGATATAGCCCTAAAATGGAAAATTTGGACGACGGCGACTGTCCTGACAGAAATTTGAGACAAAACTTAAAATCTAAAAGTATAAATCACATATATAAGCCATAGATAATTAGGATTAAATTCTTCTATGGAAAGGATGCGTCCATCCCCCGTGAGGGAGCCGATCGGCACTCTCGGGTCTCTACCGGTTCAGTCTAGATGAAGGACACAGCGGGAGAAACCCACGACTCCCCCACACCACACCCGCAGCATTACATGACACGCCAGCGCAATGTTTGCCGCACCCTTGTCAGTCTCCCGAGTTTAGAGGAAGCTTCGACCTCGTTCGTCAAAGCTTTTATCTGCATGTTGAAAGTAGCGAAGTTGCTATAATCTTTCGGGGTTGGGGCCTTTATCTATGGTACGAGAAGCACCTAGATCTCACTGGCGACTGCACTGTCCCCCAAAGCACCTGAGGAGTTTTCTCATTTGTGACTATACATCCATATCGATCAAACCTTCTGAGGGCACACTACTGAACTGAGGCGTCATGCATGTATATTCTATAGAATCCTCCTAAAATAACCCATGATTGGTTGAAGTGAGGATAACCTGAACGTCCCCAAATGACGATGGTCTTGGCGCGAAGGTATTGAATATGATGTCCCGAAATGTTCTCTATCATAACTGCGTCATGTTTGGAATCGGCATCTTAGTACTATCATCTTCTATCTTAATCAAAATTGATACCATCGACGCTCCACAGTTGGCAAGGGAACCTATGATCTCGGACTCCACCTAAGGTAGGAGGATGATACCCTTATCACGTTTGATGAAGGAGCAGGTGTTCATGTACCCATTATATCGATTCTTGCAGTCATACTGCCACTATCTCCCTATCAAAAAGTGGCAGACATCCATGGACATCACGTCTCACCACACCTTATCCTGTTGTTCGCTTCTAATCGAAAACTCTACTAGATACCCCTTGTCAATGCCGACCCGGTTTTCCTTCAACCACGCTAGATACAAATAAGAATGCCTCTGAGTAATGAGGTCAATTTCTTCACCATATGTGTAGACGCACGTTCTTGTTGCTCCCTCCATCAATGATGAGACTGTATACTTTCCATTCACAGTATAACTGGTGCATAATATGTTGTGGCGATGCCACTGTGGATCCATCATATCTTAGATCTATAAGATCCGTCGAAACACGAGCATCTCGCCCTCATCCGGTGAAAGATGATACACTTCACCATGCTCTTCAGTTGCCTCCACATCGTTGACCTCCTCCATAGCACCAAATTTGGTAAAAGAAACTACTCGGCTCTTAGGGCAGCTAGAGGTGATGTGCCAAATCCATTGCATCTAAAGCAGTTTTGGACAGGAAATGTATAAGGCTTGCTACTCTTCTTGGGCTTCTTCTCACTCGGGGTACTCTATCCTTATCTGAATCAGTTTTCTCAACTAGCTGAAGCATGTTTGTTGGCATCAATTTTTTATGTCTTTCATGACTGACATTTGTTTTTTTCGTCATGAGACTGTAACTCAATGAGACACATGTTCTCGTGATGCAGACCGTCAACAAAAATCACTTCGCGTGGGAATCAAGGTCAAATTAGCTCGATTGTCGGTGAATTTGTCCACACGACCTCGAATAACAAAATGAACCGCATGAGTACGTTCGGAACTTCAATTTTGCTTAAGGAAGACATCCATATTGTTGGGGTTCCTAACGTGGGTGAATTACACGTAAATCGAGGCACCCGAATTTCAAATATTTTAAAATTACAAAAATAAATAAATTATAGAATGAAAATGAGAAAATTACACAATTATACTATATAAGATATATAATATATTTTAATATACACAGACACATACACACATATACATGAGTCATACATATCACTGTCCAAAATCAAATCCCGCCCAAACTACTCATCACGTTCCCTATAAAAAATGACAAAAAATACATATATTAAAGTTCTCACCTTCAGCCACTCTTCTTCCCATGCGTGAAGCCTCTACTTCTCAGCCGCCTTCTCTCTCTCTCTCTCTCTCTCTCTCATTGTCCATATCTTTCTATTGCCTAATGCTATAGGCAAGAGCCCCTATCCTATTCTCCCTAGAGCAGCAATCTTTCTCCATCTTCCTCTAACTTCTTCGTTTTCCATTTAATCTTTCTGATATTCTCCTTCTTCTTCCATCAAGCGAGGAAAGTTTTAGAGAAGCTTCTTGGAGGAGAAAAACCTTCATCTCCTTTGGAAAGGAGAGCATCATCCCACTAAAAAAGAGATTGAGAACTCGTCATCCTCTCGTACAGCAAAGGAGAGCTTCTTCCTTTTTTGGAGAAAGAAATCTCCGGCGAACTCCACGATCTCTCCGGCGAATAGAGCATCTTCCTTACTATGGAGAACTCGTCATGTCTCCTACCGCGAGGAGAGCTTCAACTGGGACAAAGCGAGACTTCGATCACCCATCGATGGTCGTATTTCCTATTTTTCTTATTCTTTTCTTTTTGCAAGTGGTGCATCTATATTTTGTTGAGGAATAGGAGATGTATCCTCCTCACTACCAATATATCATTTCTTTGTTTCCTCCTTTGTTTTCAGCAGGGGCGTCGATCACCATCCAAATGCCGTCAAACTCTTGTATTTTCATTCCCTCATCATTCCACAACCACATCCCCACTAAATCCCCTTCCTAACACCTTCTATGAGCCCTGGAACAATGCCATCTTGAGTAAATTTTCCTGAGCCAAAAGGCTCAGTTATATAAACAGTAATTAGACCAAAAAAGTGTCATAATTTAAGTAAGGAAGAAGATAAATAGTTCCCAATTAAATTATCATACAGCCAGATGCACATCAAAAATTCTAACTAAACTAATATGCAGAATATCGTCCATAAACTAAAAATGTAGAGATAATTTTGCCTGCTAGAAAAATTAGAGCTGCATTACCACAAGAAGATAAACCAAAAAATAACATCCAGATTAAGTAAAATCAAACCTGCAAACCATAAATACCAGCTTCAATTTCAGCTATTGCAGCATCGCTCATAGATCCCTCAGTATCTATTTCATCATCTCTAGCATCCTGGTGCGCTAATAAAGTTATGAAAATAATATATGAAAATATTGAAGTTAAAAGTAAAAAAATACCTCACATTCAGATACAGGAGCACTATCCGCACTGTCTACCCTTGGAGATGAATGGTCCAATTCTTCTACGTCACTTTTATCCCCAATTACATAGGGTATAACCGCTGGTGCTAGTGGAACATCAGAAGGAACCCTATCCGTTACATCTTCCACAGTAACCACGGCCTCCATGGGCACATTATGGTTCATATCTGTTGTAGGAACCACATTTTTTGGCCTAACTGTTCCATAATCACAGTTTCCAAGTTCAGTGTTTCTAGCTCTTGAATCATAGTAATCAACCATGTCCTGATCAAGTAGTGAAAACTGCTGTCTAGAAACTTGGCCATTCTCTGAGTTATGAAACACCGAAGCTCTGCTAGCATCATTCACCCTGAGAGCTGGACTTGCATCTAAATGGCGTTCAACTCCTTGCCCGCAGTAATCTTCTGAGATATATGCCCTAATAGTTGTTGGAAGATGGTGGGCAGGTTCATCAGATAAGGACATATCACCATTACTTTCTGCGGATCTTTTACGAATCAGAATTTGGGAAGAATCCCGATGACTCGTCGTAATAGGTGAAAATGTCGTCATGTTATCGTCAACATTGATGAGATTGCTCTTCATTGCCTCCAATGATCTATGACTCTGATTGTATAAGTTACTATGATTTTTTGATGTACTTCCATCGAATTGGTTTCCCAAAGAGCATTGTTTGGTTTTATCTAAGCCGATGCTAAGAGAAAAGAGTGAAGATGTTGGAAGAGAACTCTCCATTACATCTACAACAGGGGATGAAACAGTTGCACCACGCACAATGCTGAAGTTGTAATCATTATTTTGCAATTTACTGTTAATATGAGGTTCAGCATTATTATTTTTCTGAAAATACTTCATTGGTTGGGGAAGACGGTTTCCCTTCTCATCCAGTAACTTCGAAGCAGAACCACCCATATCATGTTTAAATGAATGTTGTAGTTCACCAATGCTGGTCCCCTTAATTGGTTCTGTGTTTTGATTTTCACCATCAAGGGGATGATAACTGCCATTCATAGCTTCATTTCTTCCACAAGATTCAGCATAATTACCACATGCAGAGAATTCTGTTTTCAGGGCCGTCCTTTTTAGTTCAGATAAAATATCTGAGTGATTATTTAACATTTGCTGGAACGGTGGTGTTCCCTCCTGCACATTTCTTTGGAAAGAATTCTGAGAAACTACTGATTTTTTTAATTCTGTATGAGAACCAACAGGTTCCACCAAACTAGAAATATTGCTTACCCCAACTTCTTGTACTGAACTTGCTGAATCATTTGACCCAGCGATCCAACTCACTGGCTCTGCCTGCTGCTTGATGAATTTCCCACAATGAGAGAGTTTTTCCTGAAGAAAAGACTTCTCACATAAGGAATACCCAGCTGACTCATTATCCCTGTCAGTAGATTTCAGTGGAGAAAACTCACCAGCTAATTCTTTTTTCTGAAATTGAAGCCCAGAATGTTTAATTTGCCTTTTAGCAATATCCTTATTCATTAGATTGCCTCTATCCACGTCATAATGAATTTCAAATGGTAAATCTGCAATGAAATGATCTTCAAATGACTGCTTTCGAGAATGCCTCCTTTCTCTCTGTTGTACTAGTTTCGGAGAAGTAGGTGGTGAATGGCTGGTTGCACTTTGATTACTAACAGACGGCTGAGAATTGTCTGGATCATCCACAGTATCAACGTGAAGAAGAAGGGAGTCTTTGGTAAAACTTAGTAATCTATCTAGCTGGTAGCCTACTTGGCTTGATAAGCTGTTGCCAGTTGAACTTTCCTTAAGACTGAGATCTCCTATATTATTTACAGCAGCAAAATACTGAAACTCTGAGCTGCACTGCAAGTCTATTGGATCTAGAGAACAATTCTCGGCATCATTAAGAGGGATGAGGAATATTCTGAGTCTCTGGGATCCACCAGCCTTGTCAACTCCATAGTACTCATCCATCATATTCTGAAGATCTTCTTCTGAAGAAACAGATATAAGAGAATCAAGATCCTCCCCTGGGAGCTGATACTTAATAATATGCGGTGCATCACAAATATTAAAAGTTTTGTGCATGAATTCCTTCCATGAAAGATTCTTCTTGATGGAGATAATCCTTGTCTCACCACCAACATATCTCAGCTTGGCATCACCAGGTCTTGCCATGATTTTTCCACCAAAACTGCATAGAAACTTAACCTTCCCAGATCGTGGGTTTTCTGAGGTTCCACGCATGTCTGTGCGGGTCTGAGAGCCATGAAAGGGATTAGAAGAAGAGGACTTGAAAGAGTCATTGAATTGTTTATCATTGATTCTCTGATCACTCCAAGCTAAATTTGGGCCTGCTGTATCAGCGTGACCTCTAGCATTGACTTCAAGAGCAGGTACGCTGAGAGGAAAGCAAGAAGAATCATCATAACAAAAATCAGATTCTACTCTTTGGAGTCCAAAACTACCAGCTTGATCTTCATAACCAGTGTGTGGATTCTGTTTGACGTTCAATCCCAATCCGTTTATGTAACCATGATCCAATCCAGTTCTGATAGGATTCTCTTTTGAAGTCACTCGAGCTTGCAAAACCTCCATAGAGAAATTTTCGCCAGTTAGAGCAGAGGTGTCGCGAAAATTGTTTTCTGTAGGCGTCCTTCCAAATGCACTGGCAACATAAAAACATGTAGAAAGGTTCCCAGAAGGATTGGAAATCCCAGCATCCATTTTTCTGAATTAGATGTAAATTGTAATCATTGGCATCTCTATGTACTGAAAAACCACGGGAGCTTCAATTCACAATAACAAGCAGATCTATTTCGTGCAAAACAATAACAGAATTAATTGCATGCTTCAATTAACTTTTGTGCTGAGAGCTCAAATTAAACAGATGCTACTAGAATAATCTGAAATGCCTCGCATCTCAATTTATTTTTACAGTTATGATGAATCATATAATAAAAATTATCCGAATCCAAATATGCAAAGTGATTACTAGATAAGAATGACCAAAGAAACCTCATTAACCAAGATGGATTATAACATTGAACCAAAAAAACAGAAAATTGAAACAACAGCTATACACGAAATTTAGGATCCCACAATTTGGGGAAACTCAAAAGGTTGAATGCAGCTTACCTTCACATTGCCGCAACAAAAAAACTCAACCCGGAAATGGATAAGTGGTCGATTGGTCAAATTTCTTCCTGGAAAACAAGTATTCACGGCAATGAATCAATAAATAAATTAGCCAAACTCTCAAAAACTGCAAGGCCGACACAAAACCTCCGCGAGACAGAATCAGATGGATTCTTATTCAGCCCCAATTCCTTATTAAAAAACAGCCCGATTCAAAAGCATCCGGAAACAGATTCCAAGAAACCGATCGGAGTTAAAGCAAATGCGAGATTAACAAGAAATGAGCCGTGGAAATGGATCGCTAAGGAATACCTGCATCGATCAACCGAAGACTTCCACGAGGGGATTCGGATTGGGTAGATGGAGGAGACCTCCTCGGATTTTGAGAGATTATTATTATTTTTTTGCTAATTTTATATAATTGTGTTTTAATCGCGGTGTTTAGCGGAGGAAGGGGGGCGAAGATCGACGCGGGGCGTCGAAAGAGGCGGCATCGACGATGTAGAGCAACAGAAACAGGTTTCCCGAGTGTTTCTCTTTCCACGTGAGGCTCACGTGTTTTCCATTGGCAGGTGGCCTACACTGTACGGATGCTAACCTGAATCTATGAAATTATTTAACACTTTGCAATTTCAGATGCTTGCATTAAAAAATGTATTTTATTTTATTTTATTTTATTTTTAATTAAAATAATGATATTTTTATGTTATGCAGTAGAGTTGAATGATATAATTAAAAAAATATAATAATTATGTAAATGTTCCTATTTTTTATGGGGGCATTTAATTAAATATCACGCTGATTTTTTTACATATCCAACCCTTAAATTTTTATATTTACATACATAAAATATAATTTTCTTGTATTGCATTAATATTTTATGGCTGATTTATAAAAGTTTATATGTTAAAATTTATGTTGTTACAATGTTATAAATATAAATATGAAATTGCAGGCATTTTATTTGTAAATATATAAAAAACATGTGGCATGTGTGTAAATTTGGCTTTATTTATTTTTAAATCCAACATTGATAGCAAACTAGCGAGTCATGTAGATAATAGCTATAAAATGCATAAATCATTTCGTTGATGCTTTAATCATATGGGAAGAAATATAATTTTCTTAAAGTATCATTGAATATATATTATGCATTATCATTGTTGAGTGACGAAAGATTAACATTGATGCAATGATAACTTAGCGTCTTAGTGTTGGATGAAGATTTAACACGCACCCGAACAAAAGAGATTAGCAGAATAAGATACGCCTACTTTTTATGTTAACAATCCTGACAAGTATAAGAAATCACGAGGCGTAGACCAGTTGAAATAATTCATTATCTAATTGTAAGTAGATAGATCTACTCTTCTCTTGAATTAGTGAAAATGAAATTATAAAGTTAATCATCGTAAATGTACAATGATATTTTAACAATAATAATTGTAACGGGTCACCAAGTTTGTAGTTAGGGGTGTAAACCAAAGCTCGTGTTCGTGTTCGTTTGAAATTATGTGTGTTTGAAATAAGCTCGTGTTTGAAATTGTTCGTAAAGTTACTTTTCTTGTTCGGTTTGATTTGTTTGAAATATGTTTGAAATGTTCGAATTGTTTGAATTGTTCGAAGCATTTGAATTATTTGAATTATTTGAAATCTTAATAATTTGTTTGTATTGTTTGAATTGTTCAAAATCTTTCAAAAGCTTAAACCTATAGGAAATTAATGCTTGAACATATATGAATCACAACACAAATGAAAAATAGCCGAAACATAACTCACAATAAAACCATAATATCACATCTCATACATAAAAAATTCAGATCTAGGGGCAATATGCGAGATTTCACTCTAAAAAACTATGTTTCACTCAAAGAAACTAAATAAATCTAAAAGACATAAGAAAATTTAAGCTAAGAGATGAAGTTGAAGATAAATACGAAATTATAGAATTTAATATAAATTAAAAGACAAACTTGAAGATCAGATAATAATTTATAGAATTTAATTTTTTAAAATATATAAATTTTTAAAGTATATAATTATTTTTAGAATATGATAAATTTTTTATATATAATTATTTTAAATTATTATATATTTCAAACAATAACGATTCGAACACAATCAAACAAATAACTATTTGTGTTTTGTTTGTTTATAAACTGAATGAATAAAAATTTGTACTTGTTCATCTCTTTTGCTTATCAAACGAATCAGACACGAACTCCCCGACGAGTCAAACACGAACTGTTCGCGAACAACGAGCTTTTTTGCCGGCCCTAGTTGTAGTCGATTAATATGAAAATAATAGTTTATCGTGAATAATGTAGACGATGACTGTAGAACCAGCTAATCATAGAAGTTGTAGTTAAACGTCACGATAGTAATCTATTACCTGATATCTTTTAAAATACAAATATCAATGTATTAGCTTTCATTCACATATATCACAATCTTGGAAATGTCTAGATCTTGACAATCTTTGATAAAAATAACTCATTTGATTCACTTATACATTTATTAAGTCTTAACTAATTACATCACACATTCAATTAATTTTATCAAACATTGTCATGATCTAGACATTTCAATGGCTCAAATTGAAGCTATAAATTCAATGCATTTAAATTTTCAAAGAATTACAAATAATTTTGTATATTTCAAATTCTCACTCAAATATCAAAATTAGTGATAAAAACCCCCACCCATATTTTTCATTTTTACCAAATTCTCAATGATTTGATAGCGACACGCATAAATACATCAATTTCATAGTTCAAAAATATCACCTAGGTTCTAGTTTTTGTAAATATCAATGTTTCGGGTGCTATGCATGTAATTATCCCTAAAAAAATTGGGCAGGAACAATCAAGAAACTCAAAATACCCAGAGCTTATTAGATAAAATTAAACTGCAGCCTTAGCTACTAAAAGTCAGCTTCCATTGAAAGAAAGCAGAAGCAGCAGATGCTTTCCTTTTAAAATTCAGAGCTCCATATGTTTTAATAAACCGGAAACAAGTTTTAAATGTCGGTGCTGTTCATTCTTTCACTAGCAGTAGCGCCAAAAGAGGGACCGCCCTTGCGATAACAGGAAAGGAACTCCACAGGGTATCCTTTCAGCTTGTGAGGAACTATGCCGAGATCGTTGAAGGTTAAAGCTGCAACAAGAATGTTATAAGATTGAGGATGATAGGTTAGAAGAAAGGCAGAAAGAATTAAGAAAATTTACATATGTAGCACATGATTCTTGTGTATTTACGTATCTCACAACTAAAGTTCTATGCTTACAAAAATGAAAGTTTAGGTGTGAGATATGTGAGCACATGAGGATTGTGTGCTATGTACAAGTAAATGCCCAAAAAAGTATCATGGGATATCTTTTGGGCTATTGGATAAGCAGAAGAGCTTATTTTATTCTTTTAAGAAGAAGTGTCGAAATAGTCCTCTCACTCCTCACAAGGACGACGGACGCGATGTGGCGAAAATAAAAAACACCTCGCAGGTGTATCGCGTATGTCCGTACGTAGCTCGCATGCGACATGCGGACGATGTACACGAATTTTTCTCCTTTACAAGGGAGTCATTTTTGTCCCGGAGTGTATAAAGTGTCAATTTAAATAGCCTCCACATAATACTCCAATTTAAAGAGTACAAGGAGTAATTCGACACTTTTATACACTATTTTGGCCTTTTATTCTTTATAATTTTAATGATACGAACCGTTTTCAGATACAATTGTATCCTGTGTGAGTGCATTTATATGATCCAGATTGAATATAACCGGAGTTGGTAGAGGGAATGGAACTTTATTCAGCAAGAATTCACGAGGAGAAGCAATAGCCTGCACAGAAAAAAAACAGAATTCATGAGTGAAGATATCCAACTGGTTAGTGATATTCATAATTTTTAAACAATTTTTTTGTAAGAATTCCGAAGATTGATCGAGATAAAACCAAAAAAAAACCATCCAGTCATCTTGTGCCACTAAAACGGAAAAAGTTTGACATTAGACACCATGCCATCTAATTCAACTGAAGGCTTATTAGGTTGCTATGTATGTAAATAAGAAAGCTTAGGTGTGAGATGAGTAAATACATAAGAATAGTGTGCTATACATGTAAATTTACAAAAAAAAAGAATAATATCCAAAGCAATCCTTCCGAGCGCTGAAGCGAGACATGAACTTACCTTTGCAATTGGAAAAGGAACATAAACATATCGCGGCCATTCACGAATCATGTCATACATGAGCTCTGCCTGCACGTTTAAATCCGGTTAGAAATATCATTACACTATACAGAGAAATCTGCTTAAGAGATCACGCTTTTCTATTTCAACATCAACATGACGATAGAAAATACAAATTGCATAAATGTGAAGCCACAAAAATAAATAATGAATAATTTCAAGAGACCAACCAGCTCATGTACAGTAAAAATCTCTGGCCCGCCAAGCTCAAAAACTTTGCCCATACTGCTGCCATCATCCTTCAAGGAAGCCACAATAGCAGCAGCCACATCTACAACATAAACTGGTTGAATCCTGGTAGTGCATTTCACATGGAATTAAAACATGGATTTCATTAATTCATGTAAAAGCTGAAATCAACAGTGAAACATGATAGATCCATACTTGGTGGATCCGTCGCCAATGAGCGGAAGAAAGCCCCACTTTTTTACGAATTGGGCCCATCGATTTAGAACACGATCTTCGGTGCCAATAAGAGTACCAGGTCTCATAATTGTTGCCTGAAAAGGAGCAAGCGAACTTGTGAGTACTAGAGACGACCAGAAAAAGGAAATATTTATCTTCCTCAAATGGTTTAGGACAAAGGCCTCTTAGGAACTCCCAAAACTAACCAACAATCATTAAAAAAAGTTAAGCTTCAAAGCCACATTAAAGCTCCATTTGGGGTTGTTTTTTCGCTGCGGTGGCGTTTTGAAAACTCCGGGATTGTGTTTTTTTCGCGCGTTCCACTTGCTTATCATAAAAAACCGATCGAAATTTTTAATAAACGCGGCGGCGAGCGAGCCTCTGCGGCCCATGTTTTGCTTTTGCGATTTTACCTGTTTGCCCGAAAGAACCATTGCCTTCTTGACCGAAGCCTCGCGATACAGTCGTGATTAGAGCTAACAAAGGAATCGCGGCGTACAAGGGCCTCTGAAACTCCCATTTTTCTCCTCATTCCTCTCCGCTCTTACTCGAAACCACTGTGAAAGGTAACCCTTGCCTGTCTTCCCCTTCCCCGCCCACCTTCGCGTTATTCAGCTTCTCTAAATACCGTTAATCCGTTTTGGGTTGAAGGCGAAAGAGGAAAACCGGATTAAAAAATCTATAGGAAGTGTACATTGCAGATGATATTTCTTGTATATTTGCCAAACTTTATGAAGAGGAAAGTTTTAGTTTGCTTTTTCTCGAAAGCATTATTTCAATTGAATTATATGTGTGGGAAGCTGGTGTAAATAATCCACATAAAGTTTACTTGTAAAGAATTAAAAGAAAATGTTGAGCTTAATCATAGATCTCCTCTAAGATCATATAGATCAGTAGAATCAGATTGGCGATTAGGTTCTTTTTTGGCTACTAAAGTGATAGGGAAGGTGCTTAGCATGGATTGAAAGGGTGCAGTTGTGATCCTGATCGAGGCATCTATAATAGTTAAGTGCATAGAGTACAAAAATACTTGAGGAGAATGTGGCGGTGGCAGTCAAGGAGGGAGGATGGTGCGGTGTTGCTCGAGGGTGATGCTTGGAGAGTGGGGAGTGAAATGTTGGTGCTTAGAGAGAAGGGATAGGAAGAGGTTGACAAGAGGTCACTTTGAGGGTGGGTCGGGGGTGTTGAGATAGTTGGAGTTAAGGTAATTTTATTTTACATTCTATCCGGAGGAAAAAAATTTCATTGAATTCGCTTTGAAGAGAGGTTAAGGAAATTGTTGTTTGAGCAACAAGTGGGGAGGGACAAGAGGTCATTGGGCGGGGTGTGTTGAGAATAGCTTGACAGTTTTGTGGCAAACAACAATACTGCATAGGGGCAGAATTGTCATTTATCAAAAAACAGTTATAAAACAGTTGTTTTCCAACTGCACAAACCAAACAGTCAACCAACTTATCAGGATCAATTGCTGATAAGGAGCTAATCCAGATCAGCTGTTTATCAGCAGATTATTGATAAGTTGCAGCTGCACCAAACGGACCCTAAGTATGATCAAACTTCAAACTCAAAACAAAAAACTGTCAAAGATATATAGACATGGCTCTCAATTGGCCATTCTCAGTAGAGTGCATTTTTAAAAATTGATTGACATCGGAGTTAACCCAATTTCTATTAGAAAAAGTAAATATTACTGCTAAAAAATAAAAAGGAGGTTAAAACAAACACACTTGAAAGGAAAAATACTACAAGATAGCCAAAATTTTGAAATAACAATAAATAATGCAAACGCTCAACTAGAGTGGATCTTGAGTGACGATGGTGGCTGTTAGGGGTTTGGAAAGGTGGAGGCAAGGTCGAGAAAGTGCGGGGCCAAGGGGATGCTAGCCGAGCACTTGGTGAGGTACTAAATGAGATGAAACATGTATTTAACACCAAAAAGTAGAATTGGCAATGTAGTCATCTGCATGAAATAAGAATTTTTCTCTTTTGTTTTTCCTTAGTTAAAGCATAATATTATAATAAATAATGATATTAGTACAACAAGAAAAATTATCAAAATTGCCCATTTTCAAAATAAAAAAAAAATACAAACCATATATCATAAAGCCAAGGATGAACCATCCAATGGTAAGAAAAACACAACCAAAAAGAGCTCGTTTGGACCACCACGCTGTCTGATGTCTAATGAAGACAAGAAAGTGCCATTTTTTTTATATAATCAAGACCATGTATAGTGAATAATATTTGAAACCTCCTATCCGTCAAAACATCACCAATCATAATGCTTCCATCCAAATCATCAAGTTGCGGATCATCATAATCATTTGTCTTCACTGACATAACGCAAATGATAAACTTTCAGAATCGGAGAAACAATTTCCATTGTCTTATAGGCGGGAAGAGAAGAAATCAGTTATGTGAAGCTATTAAGAGTAGTCATAGAAGTCTCTAAATACACAATTCAATTGGTTCCAACTTTTGAGTACAAATTTGAGCTATTTGTGAGAGTTCGTGTATGAAGGTTGCAGCCTTTTGTAAAGGCGTTGCTCAGGGGAAATAAACTACTTTAAAAATTGTTGAGGACGTTATAATTATTTTTTTAAAAAAAAAGAAGTTAAACAGCAATCTTCTTACATCTATCACACATCCTAGCAACATCTTCCCACTGCAAAATTTTCTAAAAAATCAAAAGAAAGCAACAGCCAAGCGGGTGTGCATGGCAACAGTCTAAAAAGAAAGTAGTGAGAAAGCTATCAAAAACAGACCCTGAATGTTCAATTTTCTCGAATCTGAATGAGCCTTGAAATAATAAGAAAGGTTTTGTCCAAAGGCTCTACAGAAAGAATAACATTTGAGCATGTCATCGAAGATTTGACTTCTACCAATATCCATGATATTCTGAGCCAAGCCACACCTCCTTTTCGAGAGCAAAGTAATATTCGCTTGTGCCAAAATTCTGGAAACAAAAGACCACACAAAACAAGTGGTGACAACAAACACTTGCAAAGCTTTATCAAAGAAGGAACCCAAAGGGAATAAGATAGATTGATTAAAAAAATGCCAAGTAACCAATGAAAAACTGCCCAAATCAGTGCGATAGATGGCTTCACAAATGCATCAAATTGGAAGATTGCTTAAGCAGGCACATCAAAAAGCTACTAATATAGAAGGTACAACTAGACAAGCAACAACTAGGTCAGATGCGCAAGTCTGGACGGATCAAGTTTGAATGAGTATGTTTTGTTACTTGTGTAATAAAAAATAAAAACATTGCTACTCATAGATTACACGATCATTAATATGCTAGGTTTTTAGTGTACTTTGAGCGTATCAATGCATATAAAGCAAGAGAAAAGCATCATTCCTGATTTACATCAACCACAAATCTCAGTAAAGATAATGATAAGCAACTACATAAGTGAAAATAAGAATTGCAGCAATCAATATAAAGAAAGGAAGGAAATAAAAGAAAATAACCAAATCCTTTTTCCACTTGTGCTTGTTTTATTTGTGTGTAGTGGAGGAAAAAATATTACGTCCAAACAAGAATTACATTCGAATGCAAGTTACATTGCGACACGGTGCTGGACCACTTGATCCCACAAAAGCGATGAATTTGAGTCCGAAACTGGAGACCCAACCTGAAATGAATAATACAGCAAAGGCATTTCATTTACCGCGCGTGTCGACGGAAAAATTTTGAAAATCTTGCCTGATTTATGGTTAAACAAACAATAGCAGAAAAAAAAATTAATTTCAAAATACTGAAGAGGAAGAGGATAAAATCTATTCCGAAATTGGAGCGTGCCGATGGAAAGCCAACAATACCGATGATATTTTAAATTTCGACTCATCGGTAATTTTTTAATGTAAAGTATAAATAAACTTTTAAAGAAAACCCTCATATATTTATGATATGTAGTTGAATAAGTTTTTTATAGTGTTTTAAGTTACTTTTCTATAATAAACTTTTCATTTTACGATGATTTACGACAATATATTGGGAGTAACTTGCCATAATCCAAAAAAAAGTTTCAACTAACCCACTAATAATGTAGAAATGAGACTTCTATGATATTCTAGGTTTTATTTATTTAAAACTATGATAAATTTAGGCAAAATTTGGGCTCTAAACTACGATTGGCCTAAAATATCATTAAAAGCTGATTTCAGCTTCATAAGAGAAATAAATATTTTTTTTCTTAAAGCATAAGACAGCAAAATCCTAATTTACAGCCCAAATTTTGTCTAAAGTCATAATAGTTCTAAATAAATTGATACTGAAATTAACCCAAATCATAATAGAAAAGCAAATATTATTACTTGAATCAACTAAGCAGTTACAATCAACACACTTGAAAGGAAAAATATAACAACACGACACCAGAAAATTAGAAATAGCAGCAGTCACGGCACAAATAATCAAAATAAGGTGGAACCTCGGGGTGGTGGTGATGATCAGCAAGGGTTTGGCCCTTTGATAAGAAAGCAAGAAGTGGGTAAATGCTAAAAGGCAAGCAAACAACAAAGGGTATGGATGGCACCAACAAAGGGGAGGAGTTGCGAAAAGGGCAACAAGTTGGAATGAGAGAAATGGATAGTTGGGTGGCCAGAACTGCAAAAAACAACAAGAAAAGGTGTTTCTTAGCTGCTACAGTGAGGGGGAATATTGGCGGACGCAACAGGGTATGCGGGGAACTGTAGTACAGCAAGCGGTCAATTGTTTGGGTGGCAGAAGCGAGGACAAATAGCTCGATTAGGGAAACAGCGGGAAAAACAACAAGGTGCAACTGTTTGGGGGTGACTGCAACAGTGGAGGGCTATCAGGAGCAATGTTGGGAAGATTTGGAAGGAAATAGGTAAGATAAACACCACCTAGGAGAAAGGTACAGTTAGAACAACACCAAAACACTACAACCTTCAATGGGAGAAAGGGACGTTAATGGATGTCTTGACACAAATGTGAGTCAAAATTGAATTTTAAACCCTAATACAACACATATATAGGAAATAACTAAAAAAAAATGAAGAAAAATAGAAAAGCAAGTATAAGAAAAAAACGAGATTGTTTTGGCCCGTCTCTAGCAACTGCAAAATCTCACAGTACTGCAGTAGCTACAGTACTGCAGTAGCTACAGTACTGCATCTGCGAAAAAATCCCGTGTCTCCAATAAAACCTCAAATATCATAAAAATAACATTTCAGCATTACTAGTGGATTACTTAAATATTTTCTTCAAGATTAAGATAGGACACTCCCAATATATTGTCATAAATCATTGTAAAATGAAAATTTTACTACAGAAAAGCTATTTAAAAAACCATAAAAAACTTATTCAGCTTCATATCATAGATATATAAGGATTTTCTTAAAAAGTTTATTTATGCATTACGTTAGAAACTTATCGATGAGTTAAAATCTAAAATATCATCAGCAAGTTCTTCATTAACGCTTTCCACATTCATAACAAATTTTATATTCTTCTTCTTTAGCATTCTGAAATCATTTTTTTTCCTAACTCTTGTTTATTTAACCTGAAACCATGTAAAATTTTCAATTTGTTTCCCACCGTAGCACATGGTAAATGAAAAGCCCTAGCCATAATATTTATTTTGGGCCGGGTCTCCAGTTTCGGGATCAAATTCACCACCAAGCACGTGTAGCAAGGTAATTGGCGTCCGGAATTACGCCCAGACACCGAACGTAATATTTTGGACTGATAAAGGCCAACAAGATTTAAATAATGGTTAAAAAGAAAACTAAGAAGAAATTAAATTCTAAAAAGAAAAAAAAAGAAAATGAAGCTTGGTTATCTAGAAAAGGCAAGCTTTACGTATCTCAGCTCAAATTAGACAAGTCGAGGTCACCACTCACCACAAAAACTAAAATCAAACCTAATGGGCTATTTTTCTTATCCATTATGTCGGAACCAAAATCTACATTGACCAATTTATTATTTTGCATTTAAAAATCAGATCAATATAAGTAAACTCAAGTCAACCCAATGTGGTCCATCCATTATGAACCAAACTAATCGTTCATTAAAAATGTATTGATTTGCACGCATGAAATATGCATCAACTCTCACACATCACTCTGGAAAAAAAAAACCCTCACATATCACTACCACTTGAGAAAAACCTTAAGAGGAAACTAAGAAATTAAAGTGTCGGAATACAAAAATGGACAAAATTTGAATATCTAGAAAATGCAAGCTTCATGTATCTTGCCTCAGGTTAGCCAAATTGATGAGTCACCACAAACCGATCAAACTAGATGAGCCAATTCTACAGCAGAATTACTTCACCCTGCCCAAATCCCAGTTGGGCCATGAATTATTTAAGTTTTAAAATCAAGCCAAATCATTCAGTGAACCAAATCAACCCAATCCAGTCCATTTATTACGGGCCAGCTAATTGCACATTAAAAATGTACTAATCTGCATGCATATGATGTGCATCAACTCCCACAAATTACTGCCTTCTTGAGAAAATCCTGAAGAAGAAACTGAGAAGAAAACAATATCCCAAAATGTAAAAAAGGATGGACAAAACTTGGATATCCATAAAAGCCAAGCCTCTTGTATCTCAACTCTAGTTAGGCAAGTCAATAAGTCACCAATCACCAGATAAACTGAATATCAACCAAATGGACCATTTCCCCAAACCACGACCAAAGACTCGAGCGGACCCATCTATTATTTTGTGTGTCAAGCCATGTCAATCATGCACTAGCCTTAGTTCAATCCAAAATGAACCATTCATTATAAACCAAACTTACTGAGTATTAATAATGTATTAATCTGTCTACATATCAAGTAAACATACTCTTCTGTAAATTCTCAATTTTTGTTTCTACTTGTACAAAGCTCTTCCTCCCACTCCTAAATTATTTCTCGAATTTCATTCTGCTGTTATTTTAATTTTTTTCCAGTCCAAAAACTCCATTTTTTTACTCAATTTTCCCACCATTTCTTTTTTTTTTAATTCTAAATCATCCAACTTTTTTGAATTGTTTATCTAATTTTTCTTCTGCTTGAGCAAAGCTTCCAATTCTATAATCTCTTCAGTCTTCTTCTACATTTTTTGTTTGTATTTATTAAAAGAGAATAATTGTAAGGTACAAAGCAAAGTGGCTCAAATTCAACAAACAATTCCTAATGGCTTGGATCAGGTCCGTCAAACCAAATCACATATGCTTCTGTACATTCATTATCTTCACCAGTTAATCTTTAACCACATAATGTCCACAATCGATCATGACTATTAATAATGTATTAATTTGTTAATATGCTTATGTGTCTATTTTGGTAACCAAACTAATTTCTTTATTTCAAGATGATGATTCCAATGGCATTGACTAATTTCACAAGCAACAAGTGTAATGCGTTTAATTAAAAAACAAATTAATCCCTAATTAATCCAAATAACACATAAATTACCAAGTACTCCAGCCAATTTATTTATTAATTATTTAGCCCCGGCTTCATCATAGTTAAATATTAATAGATCTTAAGGATCTTAAATAAAATGTACCATTAATTAGTCTAATTAAACAGTTAATAAATATTCTAGTTAATCCATTAGCTGATTGCAGTAAACAGAGCAATTGTTTTATAAACAATAATAATGATCATAACCGTAACTCAAATTAATGTCTAACTAGCTAAATAATTGATAAGAATTATTTTAATTAATATTAAATTAATTGGTCGTAACATGCTGAAAATTAAATGTTTATATTACTTTATTGATTTTATTAACAATACTAATTAAACTCCAATTATTATCATTAATATGTTTTAGCAAAATCAATTACAAAAAGCCCGATTAGTCTCTAATTAATCAAAGCAATCCCTTTTAGGCATGTTTTCAAAACAAGAGAAAAAGTGTAGGTCTGTGTTTTCACAATTTAGGAAAAATGGCCACATCATTTCAAAAAATGGGGCAATTACATACATACCACTCAATTCCTATGAATTTATAAATGTAACACCTAAAATTTAGTTTTTACATATAAAATACCTAATCTTTCATATCACATCAAATATACCACTACTTCAACTTTTAAAAGGTGAAATAAACATTTTCATGAACAGGTAAAGTCCTATAAATGTAAAAATTAAAGTATAGGTGTTAGATATGTATGTATATACATAGGAATTGGGTGTTAGATATGTATATACATAGGAATTGGGTGTTATATAAATCTTCCTTCCAAAAATAGGAAATGAAAAATCATTGCAAAGATTTTTTTTTTTATTTACATAGCTATTTTTGATAAAAGAAAACAAACACGACCACGGCATAATAACAGCCACCCACATGTGTCCTCAAAAAAACTTAAATGCGAGGCTTCAAGTTCACCACTTCGCCATGTAAAAGCAAATACTTTCCATTCATTTTTCAGCAATTCAATTAAAACTTGTCAAAATATTTTAATGTACTTCTACAGCTTCAAGTGCCCAAACCTATTAAATAGAAAGCAACATGCGCATACGCACATAAGCTTTCAATGGTTAGAAATTCAAAATAATTAAGTAAAGAGATGACCTCTGTAAAGACTCGGAGAACAGATTCTTCAGAGGCAGCCTTCGTCCTCAACAATCTAGACGGAGATGACTCAGACGCTCCCAAACATGAAACTTGTATAAATCTCATTATGCCACCATGCTCTTTTGCAATCTGTGAAATTTGGTCAAAAGATGGCACATGCAATAAAATTCAGCAATATATACAAATTCGCAATGCAATAGTGTCAAGTAGGAAAGAAAGTAGGCAACAGAAAAGGAAGTTCTCAAACACAAAATGATGTGAAGTTAACATAAAAGAAAGTTTAACAACAGATAAATCACTTTCATCTATAAGGAGTAAAACAAAAAATCACTGGTCTTGCACGGAAATGCTGGTGGGTGACAAAAAGAAACTGTTTTTCACTGAAGAATACAGAAAGTGGTGTGATTCATCATTGCAGATGGATAGTAGGAGAAAAGTGCTTATGCTTCCTTGAAACTTTCATACATGGAAATAACTATACAAAATAATCCATCTGCATTAATGTAGATTTCATTCATGAAGATGTGCTCAACCACTGGAAAACAATGAATGGGAGATAATTGCATTCTAAAAAAATTGCATTTCTAAACAACTCACATGTTCAAGATGTGACCAATTAATTGTTTATATTCACTAGGGCAAAATATTTTAAACATTATAACAAGAACAGGAGCTCACTTTTCCTTTATATGTATTGAACACTTTTAGTTCGACCTATCCCATGATCCATGGGATGAAACATCAACTAAGTAAAGTGCAAATAGAAGCAGAAACAAAACTCAAAAAGAATCTTCAAAGATTGAAATTTATATTAATGAAGATGGCTTATTTCGTAACCCATTTACTGTTAGGAATACAATTACTATGAAGATGTACTTAACTACTGGCAAACAATGAATGGGAGACAATTACATTTCTAAAAAATTCACATGCTCTAGAGATGACCCATTTAATTGTTTATATTCACTAGGGAAAAAGACTTTAAACACGCTTACAAAAAGAGAAGCTCCATTTTCCTTTATATAAATTGAACAATCTTAGTTATATCACTAGGGCAAAGGATATTAAACAATCTTGCAAGAAGAGGAGCTCACTTTTCCTTTATATACTTTGAAAACTTTTAGTTCGACCTATCCCATGATCCATAGGATGCAACATCAATTTAATTAAGTGTCATAAGAAGACGGAATCAAAACATCAAAAGAAATCTTCATAGCAATTGTATTCGTAATTGTATATATGAGATATCCTCCCCATCACTCCAATTTCAACAAAGTAAAATGAGTCTTCCTGTTTCTTTCGTAAACATAACCATAAAGCACATTCCTTCTTCAGTTTTCAAGACAGTGTTCAGTTTTCAAGCAAGTTCTCAACAATGGATTATCTTCAACAATACAGTCTTCACTAGTTCATTCGTCCACCCTATATGGAATCACTATTATCTTTGCTTTAGTTGGTCACAAGCCTTCTATCATCCATTCTCAGTTAAGATTCTGCTTTCTTCATTTATTTCAAGTTCTTCCTTCTTTCCTGTGTATGGGGTGGCTATTGTCTCTTCAATTCAAGACAACCTTTTAGAAGAGAACAATTTTTAGAACAATCTCACATTTTTAAAATTTAGTTTATGGTATAGTGCGGCGAGGAAACAAATAAGAAGAGAGGTTGAGTGAGAAATAAAAAAAGGATAACTGTTCAATGATTTAAATTTATAACAATGAAAAACATATCACACATGCTCAGTTCCAAGTCCTAAAAGTATATAATCCCCATATAAAATGCAAACAAGAAACATGACTATATTGTGGACAAAACTTAACATGGTTGAACATAGATTGACTTGGTAAAAAAAGACCGCATTGATGTCCATACATCAATGATTACCTTACCCCTTATTTACTCTCTTCGTAATATTTGTGAACTCACTAAGAATTTTTCAATATTCGTGAGAATTGAGATAATCATATGGAGTTGTTGAGCTCTAATTCTATATAAACAAATCTAGGATTTGAATAGGGACTTCCCTAGATAAAATGACGCACGTAGCAATTTAATTCTACTTATTCCCTGATCGTGACCACTCCTAGTCAATTATGGAAAAAAAAAATGATTGTTCTTGCCATCATATCTAGCATGCTATAGCCAACGCCCGCCATACAACATTATACATGGATGCCACCTACTAACATTTTCTAAAGTCCTCAACACTAAATATCCTTCAGCCGCTAATAATTATTCAAAAGAAGAATGTATTGACCTGAGCCGAGGATGTATTGATTCTGTTTGAGGAGGATGTGTCGACTTATGGCTGTTTCAAGTGACAACTTGAATCTTAAATATTAAGCAATGGTGCAAGCAGGTTTATATAAAAGTTCTGTGACACTGAGCCTCTTGGGTTTGATTTACTCTCTGCATTGTACCTTTTGCAATCAACTGTGGTAGAGTAAATTTAGTAATATCAAGCGAGAGAATGAGACAATTGATTATGTATCAACTAATCATAAAGGATGTACTACTTAGGGCATTCTTGGAGACTATCACTGCTTCTAATTTAGACCTTTTTAACTTCAGATGTTGGATTAGTCAATTTTTTTATTATCAATATCAAAGGATCAAGCCAAAATTAAATCAACCAAGCAGTAACGTGAGAGAGTCGTACATAATCTCCAAGCCATGCAAGTTCTTGTCACATCTCAACAAAAACTCATCAAGATGATTAGTTGATCATTAATGAGAACGGAAAACCTAAACAGCTTCCTATATTGATTTAACGCAAAGGCCTTCCTAGCTCCCAACTCAAGCTCAACAAGCTTTCAACCTAAGTTGTTGTCAATTCAATACGCTCTACTTGGTCTGCCTCAAAGAGTATAACTGTGAATGCCAGAAGACAAAATCAATAGCAATCTTCAAGCCATGTAGTTCTTAACTCGTATTACTCAAATGAGTTCAACAACATGATTAGGTTCAATAACAAAAACTTTTGAAACAAAAGGTTATACATTAACGCAAGCAGAAAGCCTTACAAACTAAAGCCTATTATGGCCCTGAAAAATTAACTTATTCATCAAAAGTAACTCAAGCCAAAAGACAATGCCCAAGTGTCTATAACCTAAAATTCTTTTTAAATATGAATAGAAATGGACAAGGTGTTGCCTTAACATATCGATTTAGAGATATGGATTTAAGCTGACAGCATATGATTTCATTAGTGCTAGGTATCACTATAAAACAAAAATAGAATAGTCATATATAGTTCTTTTCTTGTCGTGAAGGACTTAGACAATCCTTAGGATGAGTCTCGAGTTTTAAATTTCACTAAGACACCATTCAGACCCATTACTCAAAACAAGTTGCATGAGAATTACAAACTAATATCTATTGACAAAGATATAGAATTGAACCTTTCTCATTTCACAAGAATAGTATGATAGGTCATTTGCGTTTTAAGTTTTTGATATTATTGCTCCCTTGCTTGCAATCAATATGCTTCATCAATGCTACTTATCAATAAATGTGCCATCCCCTTTCAACATAAGTTAATTGAATCCTTCAATCAAAGGTGTTTTTATAGTGGTGCTTATTACTCTAAACTTTTCTCCAAAGTCAATCAATATGTTCAATTATACAAACCTAAATCAATCATCTCTAAACAAGCCTTGACAACAAAGCAATTTGAGCCTTGAGCGACTTTCGGTTGAACCGAGCCCAGCAAGACATATCGCATACAAAGAATAATAATCACTTTTCTTCAACCTCTGCAAAATTTAAAAATGGGTACCACTTTAAATTTTTGCAAGAAATAATACCTAAAGGGTGGACCTTCAAGAAACATCAAAGCACGATATATTTTTAGCACGATAATGAGGATTAAACACATGATCACATCAACTGCTTAAATTGCCAACATATTATCAGCTAACTACAAGTATTCTTGTGAATCAAACAAATCCTTACAAGCGTTTAAAACTAGGACTTATCAATTTTGGTGGTAGTGTCTCATTAGGAATCTTGCGCATAAAAGGGAAATTGATTGAAGAGAAAAAATTAGACTAAGTAAGAACCCCAAACTAAATTTGACCTATTTTCACTAGAGGAGGCATCCTCAAAATTGCCTAATGGGCTAGTTATCTAGTGCTACATGTGCAATTTTTAAGATTGAAAATAGCAAGGTCAATAGATATTAGGACTTGACACTTCTTAGCATTAGTCCCGAGTTTTAAACTCCCCCAGGACATCATTTGGACCCCATTGCTTGAAACAAGTTGCAAATGGTGATCATGCATGAGAATTACAAGCTAATGTCTATTGGAAAATATATAGAATTGAACCTTTCTCATTTCACAAGTAATGGTACAATAGGTCATTTTTAATTGAAGTTGTCAATGTGATTGCTCCCTTGTTTATAATCAGTATGCTTCATCATTGACTACTCATCAATAACACGGTCATCCCCGTTGAACATAAGTTAATTGATGATTACATTCATTCAAAGTTATTTTTGTAGTGGTTCCTATTACTCTAACTTTTGTTCAGGATCTATCATTACATTCAACTATACAAACTTAAATCAATCATCTTTAAACAAGCCTCGACAATTATGCAATTTGAGCCTTTAATGACTTCCAATTAAACCGAGCAAAGCAAGACATAAGAGAATCATTTTCCCCTATCACATACAAAGGATGATAATCACTTTTCTTCAACCTTTGCGAGATTTGAAAATGGCCAAATAGTCACCACTTTAAATTTTTGCAAGAAAGAATGCTTAAAAGGTCACCAAAGAACAATGCATTCTTACATTGGTGATGAGGACTAAACACTTAATCGCATCAACTGCTTAAATTGCCAACATAGAATAAAAAAAGATCACATACTACAACACCAACAAACTGTCATCCAACTAAGTGTGGTCGGCTACAAGAATCATTTTTCTCCATTGCATCCTATTAAGTGTCATATCATTAATTCTAATAAATTAAGATCATTTTTTATAGAATATGCCTAAATATTTCAAGGTCTACCTCAGCCTTTCTTAACATAAGTTGAATCTAAAACATCTACTCTCCTATTGGAATCATCAGATAGTCGACATTTAATGCCACCAAACCATCAAAAATGACTCTCTCTAATTTTATCCGTCAATGGAGCTACACCAACCCTATCACGGATATATTCATTTAGATGTTTAACGCTACACCAACCTTTACACATAAAAGAGAAATTTGAAGGAAGAAAAGTAATGAGGCTAGTGAGAACCCCAAACTAAGTTTGACCTACTTTCACTAGAGGAGGCATCCACACAATTGCATATTGGGCTAGTTATCTAGTGTTATATGTGCAGTTTTCATGATTAAAAATAGCAAGGTCAAAGCATAACAGAAGGATATTATTGATTGTTGCATCTCTTACACCTTTTCCACACAAGTAGTGGCAACTTAGGTTGCCATCATATCACCGTGGCATTGACTTTTGTTTTTAATTCCAATTTTTTCTTTACACCGAATATTCAAAGGTGGTGGAAATATTCACAGTAGCATAAATGAATCAAAAAAGGGAGATTAAATGAGCAAGAACGATGCAAAAGTCTTTAAATTAAGCTAGACTTGCTACCGCGAGAAGATGTGACCTCAAAATTGCCAACAATTGGCCTTAAGGGCTAGTTGTCTCATATTACATGTGCAATCTCTCCAGCTCTTTCAAGGTTAAAGACGATAGGATCGCCACGTAGCAGCAAAATAATGTTAATTTTACATCTCTTCCTTATTTAAAAGATGCAAAAGTAGTGTCACCTTGGGTTACAATTATGTCAACTTGGAATTTTGGATTTGGTTCCTTAAATTAAGCCATGATTGAATACTCAATGGAGGTTGAGTTTCACAAGTACAACACAATTGGTGACGTTCCACTTGCTAGCTTATAGATTCTCTCCCCATCATGCTCATTGACCCCACTTTCCCTCAAGGGTGACATGCTGCCCAAACAAAGGCACTAGAAGATGTCTAAATTTGATTCAAAATAACCAAAGGCAATCCATTTATTTAGGAAGAGAGATCAATGAATATGGATGATTCAAGAAGGGGTAAAATAGAATAAGTCTTAGGCAAGGGCGGAAAGAAAGAAAGCAAGAGAGAGAGAGAGAGAACTATATTTTTATTATAATTAGACATACACGGATCAAACGTTGCTAGTTGGTTTCCTATGTACCTATAGATTGGCAAGCTCTCTCATCTAGGATAGACACTGGAGCAGTTTGTCCCTAAAGGCATATATTTCATATGTACACATATTTCATGCATAATGGCCACCTTCATTGGTAAGAGCTCACTCCATTCAAAGTCATTTTATATTATGATAGCTTTATCAAGCACCATTAATAAAGGGCTTCTTTCCTTGTGCATCATAAATGTAAAAACGATAGTCTTTTATGCAGTTTGTCTCTCTTGTGAGGTCAAATCTAAGGTGATATCATAGTAATGCCTGAGCACTTTTGGCACTGTAGACAATGTCGTATATTATTAACATTGTACTAAGGTTAAATGTGTCCTTTAACAACCTTCTCCAACCTACTTTTTGATTGTTAGGCCAAACCTTCTAAGTTTTCACAAGTTGGACATGTAATGACACTAAGTAGTTGATGGAAGGTGTCAAGTAGTCCATGTTTTTATTAGACAACTGCTTGGAGCAGTTTGGTAATCACCTATGGCATTCTTAATTCATCATTCTTGTGTTTTCACTCAAAAACAAGACGATAGTAATGACAAATTTATATTGAAATTGTCACATGGAGCCTATTGGCTCTATTGTGTAACTAGTTTATGGTTATACTCCTAAATCTCACATGCTTTGACCGAGTTTAAATCACATGATCACATTAAGAATATGCCCAAAGCATCATTCCTAGCTTGGTGGATCACCTTGGCAATGTGAGATTGGTTAGGGTGAGAAGTTAAGAGGATGACTTATCTTCCTTATGTCGCTTGGAAGGCAATCAATATCCCTCACTTTGGTTTTTCATTTTTTAATATACTAGGAGTGATCTACAAGAAGTGTCTTACATTGTTTCGAAATCTATCATTGGAAACGTACACGAAAACCATACTTGGTTGGGTGAGTCATATGAGTTTGTGATCACATTTTGGGTATGAAACTTAGTTTTTGGATCAACCCTTCAATGCAATATAGACAACGCTTATCTTACTTCAAAAATGTGATTTATGGCACTCGAATCCTCTCACTTACATGCAACAAGCAAGCCCAAATTATAGCACTACTGGGATGCTTCCTATTTTAATCCATAAGCTTTAACTCTCAAAATAATGATCACACCGATGCATTCATTCTCCAAAAATACCTAAAGCATGTCGAACAACCCATATTCAAAGATTTGATAAGTTTATTCACAAACACAATCATTAAATTTATTTGAAATTGTAGGTCACCGTCAAATTAATGAGCATTATAATATTTATATAATGCCAGTGGATGTGCATAAATCCAATTATCCCATTTAATTTTCTATTTGATCAAAGTACTTTCAAGACAACCAAAATTTAATCCAATGGCCAAATCAACTACTTAATCATGCAAATTTCTTAGAAAGTAATAAAAAAGAGAAGAAAAGTATTAATTAAATAATAAATCCAAAAAAAGTAATGTTCTGCGTCTTCTTGAAAAGTTGCACATGAATTTGTGTTATCACAAACCTAAATTTAAAGTTCATGCCAAAACCGCCCACATACTAGATATATAATTTCATTAACCTTTTTTTTTTTTTTTTTTTTTTTTTTTTTTTTTTTTTTCTAAATTTTATGAGCTATAATATTAAAATTAATAGAGAAACTAAATTAAGACATTTACAGCAATGTAATAATCTTGAGCAGGAGAACAATATGGACCAAGTACTTTCTTGGCATGAAAATGATTGTCTAACTTGATGTATATAAGCAAAAGTGCAGATGGATTGTTGAGGAAAACCAACCTTTTATCATTCTTCAAAATGAATTGAGGGATAATCAATGCATTTATCATATTATCAAAGAACTTATACAAAAATTTAAGCTCGTCACCATCGAAAAATATTGAAAATTCTTTTTGTCAAAGAAAAGCCCCAAATTTGAAAACATACCACAGCCAAATGTTCTGCCATTGCATGGTGAACTTCTACAAAGCTATAGTTTCTGGTTTCATAATCCCTCCCTAAATGTTTAAATTTGCATTAACCATGTTCTCATGCCAAAACTTCACAAAGGAGCAATGATTAGATGCACTAACCAATGAGATTAATAACAACATTAGCCTTAGCCATCACAGCTTTAATTGACTTCTCATCTCTTGGATTGTACTTCATTGGTACTATCTAGTACACAAGTTTTCAAATTAGAAATTAAGTTTAACACATTTTAATATGAAAAGCAAAATCACAAAGTCGAACAAACATGCAAACAAACTTTATCAAAGCATAATACCTGGCCCAAATCACCCATCAACTTGAGGTGCCTATGGGAATCCTCAGAACCTCTAAAAGGTACTAAAACTTGAGATCCCATTTTAGCTGCATAAGTAATAGGAATAAAAGATTTAAATAACCATTCACGATTAATGGGCCCAAGAGAAATTCTTGACAAAATCTTCACCAATGTCACGGGCTCACAACTAAAGTATGCCTAGAAAAAAAAAAAAAATCCTCATAATCTAATGAAAGCATTTTATACTATCCTATTTGTTTACAAGGTATCAATCACAAAACCTCCACTCTGCAATTTTCTTCCAGTCAAAGAACATTATCACATACAACAAGGCAATGTTTTTAAAAGCACGTTTCATGAGCAAAACAAAGAGAAGTGTGTGACGCATGTTTTGCTTTGCTAAAGCGCACTTCGAACCATTTGTAAATTTTTCTAGCAAATTTTAAGTAAGTTTTTAATTATTGCAACAATCAATTAGAAATTGTTTGCCAACTTCATTAGTAGATTCACCATCAATGTTTGCCTTCAAGTTAGTTATTTTACAGCATTTTTTCTATTTTATACCAACTTTTAAGTCATGCTTTATATTTTATAATTATTACTAAATGTACTTATATATTAATAGTTTTATATAGCCTGTTAACATTTTGGTTAATGAAAGCACCGCTTCCTTCTGAGATTTGAGCTTTAAAATAATAAAAAAAAAGCCTTGTGCATTGCATTGTGCTTTAAGTTTCATAAAACTGCAACAAAGGGTGCTAGTGGCTACAACTTACCAAGCTGCTGAACAACATAACGACCAAGAAATCCAGTAGCTCCAAAAACAGTCGCAACAATACCACTGTCACAGGAAGAAACAAATCATTAATGGGATGAAACAAACCAATCACTCAACAAATACCATCAAGGTCAGTATGAGTTCAACCTAACACCATCAGATGAGCCGCATAAGTTTAGTTCAAACAGTGAGCACCGAGAATTTAAAATATTATCAATAGAAAGCCCCACCTAACAGACGATCTTCCTCCGGTGCCCTTGCGGACGATATTACCGGCGCCCTTGATGGAAATGGTCGACACATTGCGACTATAATCTGCCAAATAGCCTGCGAAGGGATTGGAGAAAAGCACATTTACAGAAAGAATTTTCGTTCAAAGACAAGTGATCCCAGGAAATAAAAGGAGCCCTATAAGAAACGCGGGCGAGGAGAAGATCACCGGAAGAGATAGGGTATATAAATCTGGAAGAAGAAGAAGAAGGTGGGAAGGAGGAATTCAGCAGTCGTCTCCCCGATCGCCTTAAGCAAGCTTCCATCTTTCTTTATCGAACAGAGAGAGAGAGAGAGAGAGAGAGAGAGAGAGAGAGAGAAGGGGGTGATGTAATCTAGGTGTTAATGTTAACCACGACCCGAACTTGTCCCATTTGCTCAGCCAAGCGTAATACCTTTAGGGCTTTAAATAAACCAAAGCACAAGATGAACAACTCGAAAGCTGCTAAATCGGCTCGCTTAACATTTTGCTTGATTTGATAATGTTTATTGAGATTAGTAAATAAATGAATTTAATTAATTTTAAAAAGTTAGAAGCATAAATGAATTAAACATAAAGATAGTTAGAACTTGTTTATTTATGTTGTTGAAAAAATTCATTTGCTCTTCAACAAATAATTCGTCAAATACTCAATATTAAATTTGATATAACTCATGTCACATGGGAGAGATTTATATGCATACCATTTATTTTCTTATTTGTTAACATATCCTATCATCAATATTACAGTTTTTACATATCCGCCCAACTTATATTAAAAATATATGAATTAAGTAGTCTGCAAGTGAAAATTAAAATTTGAATGATTGATAGATTATTACATAATAATTGGGGCAATGGATATGTAAAGGCCCTTTTTACTTATCCATACAAGATACTTTTGATACTGTACCAATAAATTTTCATTATCCTACACGAATCTCGAGATAATATTTTGAGCATGAGATATTCAAATATTGATAAAAAGTCATCAAGAACTCTGATTTCAACAAACTTATAGTCAAGCCTACCGACTCAATGAGAGGAACCTAATGACATCAAAGTTAGTTCAATCCAAGTCAAATCAAGCCCAGATCAAGTCATTTAACTACTTTTGAAAGGTTCCCGGACACATTTGAAAGATCAGATAGATACCGAATCTGGCAAGTTCATAATCGAATCGTGTTTCGATAAGAAGAATTTAAAGAGCACAAAATTACTCAATGTCGACATAATTAAGACATCAAAAAGACCATTAAATACCGTCTAATTGAAAGAAGCAATCAGAAGCGTTTGATAAAAATGATTCATATTCTTGCATTCATTGCACCAAGAACACTATAAATAGACTCTCAACCCTCTCATGAGGGTGAGCTTAAGCCTAAAGAGGCAGTCTAAGGTTTTGAGGAGGAGTTTCAACTCAGCATCACCGTCGACCATTGTCGATTCACGCCGTCCTCAATGGACCACCGTCGATCGTAGTCGGTCGTGGTCGACCACTGAAGAACCACCACCGATGACTGTCGACCCCCGCCTACCGTCGTCGACCACCGCAGACCGTTGTCCACCACCGTCAACCTCCGCCTATCATCCTCGACCGCCTCCGACTGTCGTCGACCACCACCGATCTCCATTAATCTCCGTCAACTGTCGTCGACCACTGCTAACCACCAATCATCATAAATCATCACCAACCAGATGCCATCAGTCAATATTGTAATTCGAATAATATAGTTATCATTTTTTGTCTGTGGGACAAGAGATTCTGTAATCATTAATCAATAGTGGATTTCGCAACTGGGTCAAAGCCCTTGGTTTTTTTCTTTACGGATTTTTCACATAAAAAATTATGAATTCGTTGCGATTTGTTTCTCTTTCATATGTGTGTGTGATGAATTCTCGCACAACGCTAATACGACAATCTGTTACTCTACTGCTACAAATTTTCTAGCACATATCAACTTTAAATCTTCGAAATTATTTCTTCATGATATTTTTATGATAGAAAAAAAAAATTATTAATATAAAAATAAAACCAAGATTTTAAATATATATAAATCTATAAAAACGTGTAATTTCTATGTAAATTTCTCAACAAATATCTATTATTATGAATATAAAAAAAAACAAAAAAATAAAAAAGTAAATATTTAAGCTTTTTTTTCAATAGTTCATAAAATTTAAGCTTATTAATATTTTATGTCTCGTTAAAAATAATTAATATTTGAATACAAATTTTAAATCAATACATGTTAAAATGACAAGGAGTGAATTTTTTTTTATTCACACGATGCATTCTATTCCTCTGGGATCACAAATTATAACATGAAAATTATTTTATTTTTATACATACAGCACAATGTTTATATATTTACATAACATCTAAACTTTCACACACACACACACACACATACATATATATACATATATATATA